AGCGCATCGAATATTTTTGTTTCTTTGATAGATTATGTTTAAATGATTTATAAACAACCCCGAAACTGCCCTCTAAAAATAACTTTCATTCTTATTTTAGTTTTACATAATTTAATTAACTATTGCAGTGCATCGAATATTTTTAGTCGTTTGATCGATTATAATTAAATGATCTATCAGCAACCCCAAAACTGCCCCTTCATTCTTATAGAATGTGGCCTGTAGAATCCATAATTTCAAACAGTTCCAAGACTGGGCTACTAGTTAAAAAGTTACAAAAATTAATTCAGGTGTTTTCCAGAGAAATTTTGGTGGCATATGTAATTTAATGTAAATTTTTCACTTCCAAGCAAAGCAATCCCTCGACTGAAGGGGAGTAACTTTTGCAGTGCACCGAATATTTTTGTTTCTTTGATAGATTATGTTTAAATGGTTTATAAGCAACCCCGAAACTGCCCTCTAAAAATAAATTTCATTCTCATTTTAAACTTAGGGAATTTCTATAAATATCATACTCGTATAGCAATCCTGCACTGCGGGGGTTATAACTTTTGCAGTGCACCGAATATTTTTGTTTCTTTGATAGATTATGTTTAAATGGTTTATAAGCAACCCCGAAACTGCCCTCTAAAAATAAATTTCATTCTCATTTTAAACTTAGGGAATTTCTATAAATATCATACTCGTATAGCAATCCTGCACTGCGGGGGTTATAACTTTTGCAGTGCACCGAATATTTTTGTTTCTTTGATAGATTATGTTTAAATGGTTTATAAGCAACCCCAAAACTGCCCTCTAAAAATAACTTTCATTCTTGTGTTAAACTTACGTAATTTAATAGTAATTTTTCACTTTCAAGCATAGCAATCCTCGACTGAAGGGGTAGTAACTTTTGCAGCGCACCGAATATTTTTGTTTCTTTGATCGATTATGATTAAATGATCTATAAGCAATCCCGAAACTGCCCTCTAAAAATGACTTTCATTATTGTGTTAAACTTACGTAATCTAATAGTAATTTTTCACTTCCAAGCATATAGCAATCCTCGACTGCAGGAGTTGTAACTTTTGCAGCCCACCGAATATTTTTGTTTCTTTGATCGATTATTTTTAAATGATTTATAAGCATCCCCGAAACTGCCCTCTAAAACTAATTTTCATTCTTATTTTAGTTTTACGTAATTTAATAGTAATTTTTCACTTCCAAGCATAGCAATCCTCGACTGCAGGGGTTGTAACTTTTGCAGCGCATCAAATAGTTTTGTTTCTTCGATCGATTATGACTAAATGATCTATAAGCAACCCCGAAACTGCCCTCTATAGATAACTTTCATTCTTGTGTTAAACTTATATAGTTTAATAGTAATTTCTCACTTGCAAGCATAGCAATCCTTGACTGCAGGTGTTGTAAATTTTGCAGTGGTCGAAATGTTTTTATTTCATTGATCGATTATGTTTAAATGATCTATAAGCAACCTGGAAACTTCCTTCTAGAAATGAACTTCAGTCTATATTTAAACTTACGTAATTTTTTAGAAATTTTACACTCACACGCATAGCAATCCTCGACTGCAGGGGTTGTAACTTTGGTAGCGCGCCGAGTATTTTTGTTTCTTTAACCGATTATGATTAAATGATCTATAAGGAGCCCCGAAACTGCTAAATATAAATTTCATTCTCGTTTTAAATTTATTTATTTTTGTAGAAATGGTACACTTACATGCATAACAATCGTTGATTAAGACACTGCAGGGGTTGTAACTTTTGTAGTGGTTCAAATGTTTTTGTTTGTTTGATCGATTATGTTTAAATGATCTATAAGCAACCCCAAAACTGCCCCCTAAGAATAAATTTCATTTTCCTTTTAAACTTACATAATTTTTTCGAAAGTACACACTTACATGCAAAGCATTCGTGCATTGCGGGGGTATAGTAATTGTACCGTAAACTTCTCATATTTTCATGATTTTTGATGTCCGCTCCCAATCCCTCTGTGTGCACTGGAATGACCACATCAGCAAAAACATTAGTTTTGCAGCGAACTTTCTGTTTAATTGTTATCGTACTGCAGTTTGACTACAACCATTGGCCCTCTTAGTGTCGGTCACCGTAAGTCTATCTGGCATTTAATTTCCATGGAAACAAATTAAGATTACCTTAAATGAACAGTAAAAATAGCAGGCCTTAATCTTACAACCAGGATAGTTACCTATTTTAGGTAAAGGACCTTTAGGATTACTTACGGGCTATATCAGTATCAGTTATCTTTCGGTTACAACAATCTATTTTATCTAAATCAGGCTTTTGACAATCTAATAAAGATTATCGCGCGTATCCAATTATAGTTACTGGTTGCTATATATATTTCCTTACCAACTTCAGATACATTTAGGTCTCTGGTGTACCATTAGCCCAAATAATAAACGATTTGGATGTATTTCTATGTAGTTGAGATGCGTATGGATATATCAAAGTATATATCTCTATGTTGCGATTTATCCAAATGAAATAAAGCATGGGGGTTTCGAAACTATTTAATGTGGCAATGAAAACTCCTTCAATATTCAGGGTTTTTATAAACGGGGCTTAAGGAAGAGTCAAATACTTTTGAAGATGTTTGGTTATTGTATAATACGATCAGAAAACGAAACACATAACACTTTTGCATAACGATTCGACTATTGTGAAGGCTGTGGACTATTTTAAATATTTACGCACATAAAAGTGTAGCCTCCGTCGTTTAAAAAATGATATATGTTTTATAAAAAGTCACGTTTACATGTCGATTGGTCTATTGTGAGTGGTGCCATTTTTGTAGTACATCGAATAATTTTGTTTCCTTGCTGGATTTTGTTCACAGAAATCACAAACCACCCCTTAACTGTACATATAGGTAAGTATATTTACTCTACGTTTCAGAAAGTATAATATTATTTGATAACCAGGTGTCAAATTCTTGACAGAATAGCTTCCTAGCTGAAACCAAAAATTGCCAACATATGTACGCACTTACAGACGGGAAAAATTTATTCTTTAAAAGTTGCTTAAAATGATCTAAAACGTCAACATTTGAAGAAATTTTGAAATGTTCAAAAAACGGCTATCGCAATAGCTACCTAGCACATGCTAGGAAGCTAATGTTCCATAAATAAGAAAATTGCATTTCTGCGCATGCGCAACACGATTTTTGCGCATGAATTTTGTTTGCTTTTATTAAAGGGACTTACCATAGAAATTTCGTTTAAATTGCTTCAGAAACAAGATCGATGCGTTTTGCACATATGCAACACAATTTTTTGACTTTGACAATTTTTTTCTCCGTTTTTTGATAATATAACTCGGCCCAATTTTTTGTAGGTTGTACACAGGAAAATAAGGTCTTCCAAATAATAGAATAAAAATTTTAGGTTGCTATTTGAAAAAAAAAGTTCGATGCCGTTACGGCGCTCCAAAATTTCTTTTCAAAAATCCGGCCCGTTATTTTTCTGTTCGGTATGCCTAAAACATATATACAAAATTTCAACAAAATCCGTCGAGCCGTTTTCTCAGAAAATTGCCAACATACGTACATACAGACGGAAAAAAATTTTATTCTTTAAAAGTTGCTTAAAATGGTCTAAAACGTCGACATTTGATGAAATTTTGAAATGTTCAAAAAACGGCTATCGCAATAGCTACCTAGAACATGCTAGGAAGCTAAAAATTGCCTTTTACATGCCGTTCGTCTATTGTGAGTGCTGTCATTTTTGCAGTAGGGAAAAGAAGGGTAAGATTGCGATGGTAACGGTTAACGGAAGATATTCATACAAATATCTCCAAATTTAGCATGTAGCATCACCGTTAACAGTGTTTTGAAATATGAATTTTACTTCAACACATGTTCATCTCGTCATCTTACCCTCCATTGCGGGTAAGATGGCGAACAATAAAATTTTCAATAAACAGGTTTATTAGCACATTAGGTATACGCATCAAGTAATTAACATTAGTCTTCCTACGCAAAAGTCGCAAACGTGCTATTTTTTTTATTCCGCTGAGTTCGGGCCACTGCACTCGGGATGGCTCCTCTGGTGACATATTGAAGAAGCATACCAAGTCTCCGTTTTGTCAATCCCATTGTGTGTGGTGTAATCTTTTGTGGTAAAATACAAATATTTTTGCTTCTTTGTTTGACTTTTCAACGAAAACTGTAATTGTTTTGCACTTCAAATACCTATATTTATTTCCTTGTTTGACTTTGTTTGCAAGGCCCAGAAGCTACCCTTTAAGTAAAAGTGAACTAACTCGTCATTTTTGTGATACATTAAATATTTTTGTTGCCTTGTTTGATTTTGTGTACAGAGTCTAATTATAATTTGTACGTAGTTCGATATACGATTTTCGTATTTTGTAAAGGAACCATTACCCATAATTACCAGACGGAACAAGACCACGTCTTACATGAGGCCAAATGATGCCCAAAATCCTTAAATTTTGTTGGACGAAAGACAAAAGTTAATTTTTCGACACCATGATCCATTATCATTTTAGTGACCAATATCTGAAGTTCAAATTGCTCATCTAAATTCCCACTATTGTTTTCGCTCACAAACTTTCCGATAAATAGGAATTAGCCTCTTAAATAACACGGAAAATATTACGCCTTCTGAATAAAAATTTCCAAATCGAGCTCTGTAAACTCAGTAAAAACAAAACATGTTCTTTGTTTGTATTGTTAAATTATATTTGCCTGTTGTTAAGGTACAAAGGACAACAGTACGAAGATATTATTTAATAAACGTTGTGCGAATGACGATTTTCTAAGTAAACAATATTATTAAAGCTTTAAGAACTGTTTATTTATAGGCAGACGTGACGCCGTAGATCCTCAATTCTGAAATTGCGCGCTTTCACCTTCAATTTGAAATTTGTAAATATACCAAATGGTGGTGTCATCTGCCATTGGAAAATTGTATCGGTTACAGTTTTCTGTAAATCCAGCAGAGTGCCGACAACAGTAAACCTTTTCAGAGTTGTAATGAAGTGATGAGGTGAACAGCTGTTTCATTGTGTCTCTTTCAATAGTTGTAGAGTAGAATAGTAAAATGACGGACCCAAATAATTCATTCAAACGTTCAGTGTCAAATCAATTATTTAATGCTTCGGTAATCGGTGCGACGATAGATGATTTTTCTAAAAATGCTTTATTATTTCCTGTTCAGGACCCAAGTCCCATCACCAACGTTAATCCGAATGGTAAGGCCATTTGAAAGTTCCTAATTATAGTAATTTATTATTATTAATTATACATGTACTTTATTCTATATTATGACTAATTACGTGTGCTTATTATGTTTATATTACGGACAGTAGTTGTAGATTATGTTATCTTTCTCTAGTGTTACCGTGAGGACTTCGGTACACAGGAAGGTCAATTGAATTTTTCTTTTTACAACACATCTTCATTGAGAGTATTATTACTACTATCACCAAAATGATAAATAACAACGCGCCTAGGACGATTGCTGATATTGAACCGGCACTCAAAGCTGCATCTGAAACAATTAATATGTAATGTACTTGCATGGTACTTCTAAGTTTTTTGTTTATTTTTGTCACATTTTTTTTTGCTATATCACGCAAACTGGGGGGTGTGTAACGTGATGGGATGCCTAGGACCCTTAATCCTTAAGGCAACCGTACGTATAACCCCCGTGTTTGATCCATTATGGTGGATGACCCGAATATTTGAGTTGCCCTTAGGGGCAACCAGAATTTCACTGGGTGTTGCGACTAGTCCAAATAGTTGCTTTGAGTCAGACGAATAGAAAGGGCTGATGGGAACAGACCGGCTAGTGGAAGAAAGGTCGTTTGCGAATGACTGACTCGTAAGCGAAACCGGTGCTGTATATTGCCAATCTGCTAGTAGCCATGGCGTCAGAAAAGGTAACCCCTTTTGCGGACGTCATAGTGTGTATAGCAAAACCATCGCTCGGCCCTTGCTAGTCGTCCTACTATCGTGAACGACTGGATCTTGATAGTTAAGTCGTTCTTAAGGGGAGTAATATCCTCAAGGTGCGACAACTAACTAGACCAGAAGTTCGCTTGAAAGGAAGAGTCGCAACTACCCTATTCGTTGTGCTGGCTAGTGGACGATGGGTGGTTTTTTTTAATGACCTGCTCGGAAGCGATGCCAGCTGTCGGGGGTCTAAGAATACGGAAAGGGAGAGCCTATAGCTATACTGAGGGCGTCGAAGGCAACTCGTGATAGCTTTGTAAATACTAACGATCCACCGAGAACGTTGGTGTCAACCAGACGAATGTATGCAACGGTAGTTGCTACTGGAGCTATTGAATATAATTACGTAGCAAATGAAACTTGATACGAGGTGGAACAAGTGACCCACAGGATGCACTCTTTTTCACGGTGTGGTCAAGTGGATAATGCTTGGGTTACCTTATGATCGGGGCTGTCATAGACCCTGAAAAACCATGAACATCACCATCTAGGCTACCGCAGCAAACTGCAATAGGCGATTGAATTACTTCCCAAGAGATTCTGTTAACTTGTTCCAAGATCAGACAATGATATTGAAATAGACTGGTAGGGGCATATCCTAAAGGACACTGCATTGGAGCATACTCTGACAAACCTATACTATTGAAATGGGTCCTATGAAGTTACTTACAATAGGCATCAGTTGTAAATGTTTTTCTGTTGTTCATCAGATCAACGGCAGTTATTTGAATTTTGGGCTGACAGCAAGAAGCGCCGTAAACTGCAACCACTGGTTCCTTGGTACCGGTTCTATAATCGTTAGGAAAGTATAATCCTTTGGGAATCGACGTTAGCTGGAGCAGGCCAGAATCGACGTCCTGCGCAGTAACTTCTATTGTCCAAGTGCGATCACGACAGTCGCCTAGTAAGACGTTGGTGCAGTCACTTGTATAACGATATGTTAGGCGAGGCTCTTCGTTATCTGCTGTAATAGAGTTTGTGACGTACATTTGCGCGGTTTTCTTAATACGCTTTCGTCCACTGGACGTGGCCGTAAAGGTGATCAGATCTCGATAATCTGCCGTTACCATACTCGGAGCCCGGGTGACCACCGTAACAGTCGCGGTTTGCATTGGGTTTAACCACGCTCTAAAATACGAAGGAGAGAGTGTCCATGAGTTAGGTACACACTTACGATCTTGGTTGCATGTCCACCAATAAAGTTTTTTCGTCTTCACACCTAAATGACACGAGTACTACTTGGTCTTGATTATTTGTCACTTCAAAATACACCTTCGCCTGTTGACCAGGACGCGCAATCAGCTCTGAATTGGGCCCAACGTCGATTACAAGCGGCTGCATTAAACAAGGGACTTTCTCTCTTTCTAAGTACGACATTCTGGAAAATGGGAGACCTAAAACGTGCTGTTACGCGTAACTACGGGAACCATTCCGCTCACCATCTCGCTGCTTCCCACGAACCGTAACATAGAACGACTCATTTGGGATTTCTACAAATTCTACGTCGAAATTTGGATTGGTCTCCCGCTCCTCGCTCTCCAAATCAACTTTGAACGAAACATTCCTGGCTATGGGCGAGCCCCATTTGTCTTCCAGAGAGATTTGGTGGATGTCTGTGAATTCACTTGGGATTTTTAGACGCACCACTTTGCCAGTTTTATCTTGCAACTTATCTGCGAAATAAAGCCGCAAAGAGCGAATTCAAAAATTACAAGTTTGTAGACTAAATCCAAAATAAATAATGCATATGTAACGTTTTTTAATTCTGTTGTATGGCCATGAACCAATGGTTTTGGGATCACAGTCGTAGTTTTTTTCCGGACCGATTACATGACTGTGCACGCCAAATTAGAAACATCTGTAGCGTTTCGTTTGATATACTTCAATGAACTTGTAATGGTCTTATGCAAGGGACGTCGACGATTCCAAAATCTAGTGATGCTAGTTACTTAAAATTTGCTTTAGATTAATTACAAATGATTTCGTTCATTTTTTGATAACTACATGACTGACTAAATGCACACGCAGGTGCTGCTCACATGCACAATTTGCAATGAATGTAGTACCTACAGTCTACAGCTGAATGGTGCAAATTTTTCTTCTTTTGTGGTGGAAGAGTACGCCTAGTAACTTTCCTCCTTGGCAAAGTGTTCGCCTTTTGTGTTAGTAAAATTAATAAAAAATTGGCCAATTTTGAAAATACTAACAAACAAACCTTGAGAAAAACTGCCAATTATAGGAATTTTTTTGCAGTTTATGGATAGAATTTATTGTGCTCGAAATGACTTAAAATAATTCAAAAGTATGAATTTTAAACATTGAAAATTGGTTTGTAATCGTAAGTAGTCAACTTGGTGAAATGAAAATAACATGTGGTCCAACTCCAAAGTTTATTTTATCGCGTCTGACGTGATCGCGGGATGATGAAGTTTGTTTAGTGTTGTGCAGGTGCCCTAACGAGTTAGTATTAATTATCTTTACCGAATTGTGTCGCTAGAACCACTGTAACGTTTAAGTGTGTTTGTACGGAAACTGTGACATTGCAACCTTGAGGATTTAGGCCACCAGGGCGAATGCCAAGACGCCATATTCCAGAAATAGACGTCTGCAGGTGCCCTTCTGTGTTAAGCTGTACGTCATATTGTTCCAATTGCAATATAACATAGGATGCATTTGAGAATCGCTCCACTTCTGTACTGTTTAATAAATTTATTACGACACCTAAAAGTTTCAAAAATTGCCCTATAACACCCGAGGCCTTTTTTTGTCTTTCACCGTGAGGCGTGATTAATTCCAAGGTTTCCACAGGCGATGTGACACTTATATGTATGCTTTGCACGCTTGAATCTATTGGAAAAGATAAAGTATCTTTTGAAGTGATGTTTACTCTTCGGGCTATAAGTATCTAAAACGCACTAAAGTTAGTTTTAGGTTATTCAGAAGGGCGAACATACTTTTGGCGAGTCCCCTTCTGAATTTCTTACATACGCACTGTTATAGAGTTTTGACAGGTTCTCAGCTGGATTACTGATGAAAAACTTCCCTCCTGACAAATGGGCGGTTTGCTTTAGTAGTTTCTCTTCGTTCTTTATTGTGGGATAAATTCCACTCCATACCACGTACAGCTTACAGCAAAAATCAAATTCAATCAGTTTTTGTAATAAAAGGAACACATTAAGTGTGTGCATAATATAAAACGTTCAGAACTTGATCCATTTTCAATTAAGACTTTCTTGGTGTTAGCTTGGAAAAATAGAAGACTCAGAAGGGTGTATATCTTCCTGTAGAGAGACGTCTGAATGACGTGACGAATGTGAAAACTTTAAGGGTGCTTTTGGAATTATCGTGTTTAAACCTTAGCAAGACACATTTATAGTTTGCAATTATAGTTCAAAAATCTCAAAAAGTGATTAGTTCTATTAACCAGAAACATAAATTTTGTGACTTTAGTGACCTAGCTACAAAAGAATCATTTCGGACCGTTTGCTTATTTGGGAGAAATGTTATATACTTAAAATGACTGGAAAATTAAAAATATCTGTTCGTGGTTGGCACTGCACGAAGACAAAAATTATTTAGGGGCGTTTGGACATTAATTATATCAAATATTTGATTGATATTAAGTCCACGCTTAAGTAACGGCAAACCTTTATTCATCAACTGAAGCGTCTATGTGTTTAAACTTTATTGGCGCTATTTAAGGGTTGATGTGTGTGAATTTAGTGTCTACGATGTCACAGATCCAGTGGAATTGCATGGGTAATTGTTATTAATGAAGATTGAGATTAGACATTGAATAAAAAATTAAGATTAGATTAAATGGCAAAAAAAATAAATGGCAAATAAATCCAAAATAACTCATTTTGAGGCTAGTTCCAAAACGTCGTATTTCTTTGTTCTTTTCCCAGCAAGTAATACAGAAGGATTAACGAATCAATACATTTTTGGGTATGCTACACAATATGCAAAAAATGAAAAAGATTCGAAGTAGGACTACGTGTTTGTTATATTATTGTTTCATGTGATTTGAATGATTAAATGCGATATTTTGTAAAAAAACGCTTAACTTTATTAGGAACGCACATTGGTACGGGAGGTATTGCATTGGGGTAAAAATGACCCCCCACTTTTTTTTTAGAGCAATACACATTTTAGAGCTCCAGGAATCGGAATCAAACAAAATCTGTACCTACTCTCATTTCCGCTAAACAGCCGAACCGATTGGATCAAATTTGCTGCATATATTTTGGGCAGAATCACATATGCGCAGGTGGGCTGGTGGTATTTGTGCTATACTTTTAAATGACGGGGGATTGAATTGTAGCTGACTGGCTGACTGAACGTAAAACAACTATAGCAACCAAAGAATTACCTTAATTTGATTCTCCAATAATTCTTTCCAGGTTAATTGCGCCAAATCCTCATCTTGCGTTCCGCGACTGGTGAACACTAAAACGGCACTACTTCCCGAAAATAACCTTACAACCTTTAAAATGGAGTAGAACAATGCATTTCGTCCTTCCGGTTCTAACACTTGTACGGGATATAGATTTGTATTGGTTTGAAAGCGATTAAAAACATCGTGTGAGCTGGAAACGTTCGCCAAAATAGTAGATATGCCTGTAAAAAATTATGATCACTAGTAGCATTAGCGCAAAAAACAAATTTATTTAATGCTTGAAATATGGAGAGCAATGCAACATATTACATAGGTACCCGGTGCACAAAACTACCCCGTCTTAAGTGTGACCTATTAGTATTTATCACTAGCCGATCATAGTATTGCAGCAGTTCAATACAACATTTCTACGTGAGATAACTGTACCTTTTTCACGTTTTCGGGGACCCACAGTAGTAATTTCATCCATTTTAATTCGCTGTATGATGCACCCTCAACAGTAGTGGGGTTTTGAGCGTTTAATCCAAAAGATTACTAACCTGAACTATTGAATTTCATTAATGATAACACTGGGAGCGAGTTTGACGAAGCGATAATCTTCCGCAAATAAGTTTCCGCCTGTTTTAGAACTGCCAGATTATCCTCGATCAAAATAACAACGGAACGAAACCAATATCTTTCCAGAACGTTTTTGATTTCATCTATCACGTTGATCATCGCACTGGTATCCAAACCAGGTGCCAGTTCTGGTCTTAGAATTTTGGGCATCACGTCAAATTCTTCGACGAACTTCAGTCTCTGTGCTCCCGAAACGAGCAGTATTCCAAAAACGAAAAAAATTTGAAACGATGACATCTTTGTGGCACAGAACCGCAGTAAACTGAGATTTCTTGACGGGTTGGTGGTTTATGTATATTGGGATGACGCGCGATGGGTTGGAGCGGATATTGTTTAAACTTATCAATGAAGTTATTAGGTAATTATGCACGTGTTATTACTTGTGATGAATTTTTGAACTTCTATGAATTTAAGAAGCATTATTCATTTAACCTACTTTTTAAAAGCTTTCCGAAGTACCTAGTGTTAAAATCGGACGTTGCGGTTAGTTCAGTTACCGAAGTGCATTAATCTCTTTGCGGAAAACAACATTTTAAGTATTTTGACAAATGGCTAGGTAACGTAAAATACGTGTATATATCGATCTTGGTCTCATTATTAATTGCACGCTTAGGCGTCACCTTGGTTTAATTGGCATTGGCTTCATCTACATCTGTTCACTTATTCATTGATGCCAAATATGATGATTTGATTTTGAATCCTTTTGTACCATTATTGTGCACATACACACTGGAATTAGCATATCGAATAATTAATTACTAACCCTATGTTTATGTAATTATAATTAGACATTAAGATAATCGCTTAAATTTTCAAAATGTTGAAAGGCACAATTTATCATAGTAAACTAGTAGAAGGTTAAGGTGTGTAAATACGCCCTTAAAATTATCGTTAATTAAATATGTTTAAGTATTGGTAATTTCGACGTTAATGTGTATTTTTGTGTAAGTGTAACCAAATATTACATACGTTCCTTCACCGTTGGAATTGATGATCTCAAATGAAAACAGTAGTCTCGGAAAATTGTCCGTCATTGATGTTGAAACTAAGAGGTAAGGTATTTCAGGAAACTTTGGGAATTTGGGGGAAGATTCATTTCCTGTTTCCTATGTGTAGTATACAGTAATTGTATGTAGTTTTTTGTGTATGTTGTGGGTATTAAATTGATATTAAATTTATTATACGAGCGTGTACACTATAGCAAATTCTTTAAGGTTGGGGCCTATATAACTATATTACAATTTATACTGTAAAGAGTAGATGAATGAGGCAATCTCCATATTCCTTTTGGCAACAATCAATTTAGCATTTATAAATTTCGCCCGGGTGCCAATATTTCTATTATTTCCTACTTATAAAGTACCCGGTAAGTATGGTGGATCATTGACACGATATACGAACAGTAGAGATCGTTAAAAATCGAACTAAATCTTTATTTGGTTCGATTATGAAAAAGAGCTTTTGGTTTTCCGATTGTATTTAATGTAAAATATCCATCAAAGTTTTTAATTCATATTTTTTAAAAAAAGTGCTTTCGTCGGTCGCAAGCGACCACGATTTTAGCTTGTTTCGTTGATGGATTATGATTGCAGGATTCAGGCAACTCTAGAACTGCAAATAAAGTTCTTCAATTTTTTCAACAGAAGTCCTATTTTAGCGCGTTTATCAAATACGAGTTGGATAATTGTTTAAAATTGACGAACAACACTAGTAATCCGAATGGTATTTTGGTAATTCGACTGTTGTTCGAATAAGCCTTAGTAAAATGATAAGTTAGGGTATTATTGGCTTTGGTCTAATGCTGATTTTGCATTGTAGCGGAGGCTCAAAATCCAATTGACCACCAACAGTATCAGACAACTCCAATTTTCAACCAAATTCCTCCGCCTTCCACAGCAGGCGTTCCCGCAACGCTGGTGTCTAATGACCAAATCGTCGGTCCTCCTCCAACAGGTAAAGTTTACAATGGGCCCATTCCCTTTCACTGCCTTATTTTCAGGTCAGTCAAGTAATTTATACAGACGTTCTACAACAAAGAAAGTGGCATACGCCCAAATTCCGGGTTTGGTCAGTTCCCAACAACAGTCATACATTTCCGATCAAACCCTTCCATTACAACCGCCTCAAAACATCGAACAAAGTCCGTCTTTGATTAACTACTTTCAAACGGTACCTAAAGTGCCTGAAAATTTAAGTACGCCGTCCGGTCCTTTAATCTCGGAAACCGCAAGTGCGACTTTACCTGAACTCAATACTCATCCTTTTTTGCCAACTTTAGGCGCGCAGTTGATGCCCACGATCTCTACTGATCTAGGTGGACAGTACGGACAGAGTTTAAGCAATTTTTCGGCGACAACGTCCTTTTACGGTAATGATATTCCCTCCAGTCAGAATACCACGGTAAGTACACTATCATTAATGCATTTGTCTGTGAATACTAAAACAAGGCCCTAATGCCAAAGCGTAGTAGGTACTGCTCGTCGACATCCGACGGGGAGTACCCAAAAATGGCGAATACACTTTATTTTCGCATAATAAAAACACCAAAACTTATTTAAATTAGCATTGTAAATGGTTTGTTGAATTTTGATAGTCACGTTGTGGTAAGAGGTCATCTAATTTACTTGCGCAATATAAAATAAATCAAACTCCTAGTGTTTCTATGTAGCTACCTGCAGCGTTTTCAACTTATTAATTTTCTTCCATTCACGGTATATACCTATTTAATTGGGTTGAGTAAAAACGCTGTCAGTTTTTATGTAATAATACTGGAAAACCAGTTTTGCTGACGAGAATTTGATGTAATATTTAAACTAAGTAGCTATTTGTGACTAGTCTGTTTATAAATAGAACCAATAGGTTTGTGGTAGTCCGATAGAATTCAAAAGAGAAGGTATTACTGCGCGCGTTCAAAAATAATTTACTTAGATCTGGCATGTACACCCTCAAATTTCGTCATGTAAGTTTCCTTTTTTTATTTTCACGATAATGTACCGGACGGGGACGGCTATCAGGTATGCTCAGTATCAGAAGGATGTGAGTTGCTACATTTATCAAACTTTTTGCACTTTAATTAAAGTGCAGTACACATTCGTGCCCTTCTGTGCAAAAAGAAGTTGGTGTAGGTAAGGACGTGATGTCAGAATGTACTTAAAGCTTTATTTCAGGGAATGACTCCCCAAATATACAGACCAGTTTACCACCATTGGTTTTACAAACACACAGTGTCGGGTGAATCCACATGGACGCCCTTTTCAATGCCAGATTCTCTTGCATTAGAGGAGGCTTTTACTTCCAGTACGCTTTTTTTTAAATTTGAAATCATTCTTATGACTGCGTGTAATTTTTGTAGCCGATCTCTCTCCGGAAACAATCGTTGCAACTGATGGAAACCGATACGACGTAAATGTACTCAGAAGGGAAAGGTATGCTGTATATTGGGAAGCGGCACCGTCCGAGGTTAGGCGGTGCTCTTGGTTCAGTAAAACAAACATTGACTCTAAATTTATTCCATATGAAGAGAATGTGGCGGCGTTATTGGAAGAGGAATATCGTATAGCGTTTGAAAGAAATGAATGGAATAGATTTGTAACAATACCTAACTCCGAAACAGTTTTATTTCAAGGGCCTGACACATTAGTACGACTTCCTCCTAGCCCTGTCACTGATAACTGGGGCAGTACGTCATCGTCACCTGCTCATTATGGTGTACTGAAGAGGACCATGGATGAATTTGACATTGACGAGGGAGAACCAGCCGAAATTGACCATTTGTTTTTCGTGGTACACGGTATTGGACCATGGTGTGATTTTAAATTTCGGTCGGTACAGGAAGTAGGTACGGTTTGCGTTCAACTATCTTTTGACATTTACTCTACATCATTGTTGCAGTTGACGATTTTAGAAGTATTGCTTTAAAACTGATGTCATCTCATTTTCATTCCTCGAGGGCTTGCAATAGAGTTGAAATACTACCCATCAGTTGGCACGAAAGTGTGCACTCAGAGGAAACGGGGGTAGACCAATTACTAAGAAACATTACGCTTGAAAGTATACCTCGTCTAAGAGATTTTACCAATAATACTTTATTAGATATACTGTTCTACACAACCCATATATATTCACAGGTAAAAGAAAAGTTATAATTGAGTACATAATTTAGACACTCTTTCCGTAGGCGATCATCACTTCAGTTTCCACAGATTTAAATAGGCTTTACCACCTTTTTCAATTAAGAAATCCCACATTCAAGGGAGACGTTTCTCTAATCGGTCACAGTTTAGGATCATTAATCCTATTTGACATTCTAAGTCATGAAATAGCTCATAGTGAAGATGACATGACCCCACAAGTAGTAGAACGAATACTCGACGAAGGTATAAACTATCCTTGGCACTCTAATTTTGTTAAATCTTATTTTGTAGAAGAGGAAGATTTGGTACCGGAACTAAAACCAATGAATAAGAAGACGCTTAGTAGGCGAATTAGCAATATGCTTTTGGAAGCAGGTGCACAACCAGCGAAACTAATTTACCCACACTTAAACTTCCATCCCAGTGCCTTATATGCGCTAGGCTCACCTATAGGTAAATAAAAAGAGCGGGAGTACTAACTTTAGCAATTATTATTGCAATGACGGACGGCGCACAGAGTCCATACGAAAGTTTCGTTTCGTTGTTTTCCAAATATGACGTTTTCCCGAGGGTATACGATTCTATAACGCAGTGGGGTATTTTAAAACCTTGAAACGTTAGTTATTTTGATTTTCCTCGATAATTCCCAATGTAGGAGACGAATTTTCATAAAACCTTCCATCTTAACAAATTCATCACTCCGATCAAAGATAGAAATTCGTACGTTCAATTTTTTAGTTTCTCGCCTCGCATCCTAAATAGAAAATGGAGCATGTCATCTCCGTTATTCCCTCATTATGTTAATTGAAGATTTACGATGTGTTATTTATCACCACTCCTTTCCTCTTTCTTCTATAGCAATGCAGATCGAGTTGAACGCTGGAAATTTTTGAAAAATGCGAAATTTGCCGTAAATTTGTTTATTTATATCAGAATATCGTTGACACTTTTCCCGGTTCTTGGGGTTTTTAGAAGAAAATTTGGTTGTTTGAGACAAAGACGACAGCATGCGGCTACAAGCACGAAAGTTGTTCTCATTCGTGTATAAAAATCTACCCCAGACGGGGTTGATTTGAAAAATATGCTTCGCGTTTAGGACCCAAAATGTGACTTCTGGATTGTAGTCCTTTCGCGTCCAAAAAATGTTTTCTGTAATTTCTGGAACCATTCTCCGCCCTAACTGACGTTAATTTTTTAAGTGTTTACGGAAAACTGCAAAACGGTTTTTATCGTCCCCCACATCCGCCGTCTCCTTTAACTTGACAGTAGTAAGAATACGTGTTATATTCAATTATTAAGGTTTAATATAAATACTACGGAAATCTGCATTTTAGGAGTGTTTATGACAGTCAGAGGACTTGATACATTTGGACCTGACTTTGCGCTTCCAACATGCAGTTACTTCTACAATGTCTTCCATCCTTACGATCCGGTCGCCTACAGAATAGAACCCTTGATAAATCAAGAGTTAACTAGTCTAAAACCGGCCACAGTTCCACATCATATGGGCAGAAAGCGGATGCATTTGGGTAAGAATTATATACTTAATCCTTAGACGCTTATACGTATGTGTTGTAGAAATACGAGAGACGTTTCAGAAGATGGGCGCCAATATTAAGGAACGGGTTGTGGGATCTGTTGTAAGTGCGTTTAGACGATTTTATCCTGGAATCATAGAAGGTTCCATGGAGGCTACAGAAGAGGAAGTTGTGAACAGTTCGGCTCCTGAGAGTGGCAGAGAATCTGGTACCTCCACACCGGGGAAGGAAGATCCAAATCTAAGTTTTGGCATTTTAAATGCTGGTAACCGCATAGACTATGCTCTGCAAGAATCGCCTTTGGAAGTTATTAATGAATATATTTTTGCTGTTGGGAGTCACCTTTGTTATTGGTATGTAACACATCACTATAACCACCCCAAGAACGCGTTCACACGATTTTTCTGATCTTTCAAACAAATTAAGTACTAACACTAAAATTAAATTCTTATTACATTTAATTCCTAACTGAATAAATATATAATTTTACCAACTTTTTAGGAACTCTGAGGATACTGTTCTATTTATATTGACCAAAACGTACGAAGGTATGGGTATTAGTCCCTCCAGTCCGTCGCAAGAGTGATTAATTAAAAGGATAGAATCAAGTTCGCAAGAGTGATTAATTAAAAGGATAGAATCAAGTTCGCAGTAACGAAAGGGTACATTCCAAAGAGGTTTTAACAATTAATTTTTAAAAAACCGCTGGGTTCTTTAGAATTAAGTATACGAAAGTATGATGTAAATTATGTGGTTTGTTTGTTATGACATTAAATCAATTTTATTATTTTGTTGAGAACTGTTGAATTGTTACCGAATGGTCCTGCGGTGTATGTCGTTTAATAATTTAATATTGGATGATCGTAAGTGCCTTGGATTTGATATTCAAAGTGCCATATGTAAGTACCTACGCTCACTATCACTTCTTATTGTTCGTCGAAAGTCAATGGTACCTACATAAAATACAACTGATGCACAAACAATGTTTCTTTCATAGTAAGCGACATGCACTGTAAGTTCATTAATACTGTGACTAACTGGTGATTGTTACCATAAATTAGAATCATGCCCGCTCTGGTATTCAAAAGTATATTTTCTATTTTTATACAAACTAGTTTTTAGGTGATTATTTATTTAATTTGTTACTCACTGACTTACTGTTATTGTTATGCTATTAATAAATAACATCATTTTCATTTCATTATTAATCTTCAAATAACATGTAACAATGGGCAGTCAACGTTGACGTCAACAGAAGTCACAAAGAGTCAGAATAAGATGGCACTGGAACAGAGAACTGGGCAGTATTCGATTTTGTAAATACTTTTTAGTATTCAAATCCTTTAAAGTATTCAAATACTTTGCAATTAAATACTTTTATGGAAGCAGTTTTTGTAACTTTCACAAATATTTAGTATTCGAATACTTCGCAAAGTATTTGGATACTTAACCTTCCTTTTTTTTTACCAAAAATAGACTACACCAAAATTTCTCGGGAAAACACTTTTTCTTATTAATTTTGATGCGTAGAATCCAAAACAATTCGTACTTTTTCGATTAGATTTAAATCAAAAGTTATAGACTAGAAACCAATTTCGAAAGAAAATTCAAAGGGCTGTAACTTTTGAACTAGTAGCCCAATCTTGGAACTGTTTGAAATTATGGATTCTACAGACCACATTCTATAAGAAAATTTTTCTTCCGGGTCGATCTGGGACAATTGTTTTTTCGGGTCTCAAAAAAAGGCAGTGTATAACCTTCCTTTTTAACCAAAAATCGACTACACCAAAATTTCTCGGGAAAACACTTTTTCTTATTAATTTTGGTGCGTAGAATCCAAAACGATTCGTACTTTTTCGATTAGACTTCTCAATCAAAAGTTATGGACTAAAAACCAATTTCGAAAGAAAATTCAAAGGGCTGTAACTTTTGAACTAGTAGCCCAATCTTGGAACTGTTTGACATTATGGATTCTACAAGCCACATTCTATAAGAAATTTTTTTTCCGGGCCAATCTGAGACAATTGTTTTTTCCGGCCTCAAAAAACGGCAGTACTTTTAAGTTATTCAAATATTTGAGAACAATTTAGAAATGTTTCTTCCATTGTCACAAAATGAAATATAAAAATCCGATACAACTGAATACCGAACGATCCTGGAGTGAAACTTTTTGACTCGATAGTCTACGTAACTTAAAAAGAATAGGGACCTTTCTTATATCCTTAAGACCATGTGTACCAATTTTCAAAGCGATCGCACGTTTCTAAACTATTATGCACACGGACAAACGGATGGTCACAAATGGATCTGTTCCAAAAGCGCTAGAATAATTTCAGAAAGGCGAACGTATAATGTGCACGACGTACGATCGCTTTGAAAACTGGTACACGTATTCTTAAGGATATAACTGGTATAAGAAAGGTCCTGGTAGGTACCTCCTATATAATAATATAATAATAATACGCTTTTACTCCCCTTAAATTTGTATATAACAATAGAAATATAAAAAAAGCTAACCCCATACAAAGTATAACTTGATTTTTAAGTAGTATTAAGCCTTTTATCTAGTATACTATTTTAAATTTTTAATGTATTTGAGTGACAAGTATTTGAATACTTTTTACTGTATTCGAATACTTTTCAAAGTAAGTTAATGAAATACTTTTCAAAGTATTCGAATACTTTTTATAGTATTCGAATACCTTTGAAAGTATTCAAATACTTTTTGAAAATATTCTGCCCAGCTCTGCACTGGAAGAACATCAAGGACCGCCAATGAGCTCCAACAATATGGACGTCTGCTGGAAAAAGAAACACGTCAGTTTCCAATTAAGTACCTACATCAAATCTCAGATTAATTCTTAAGAGTTTGCCTACACACTTGGAGAAGGAATGGAATTGGTCCATCCTTAACATAAAGAGCAAATTAAGTTGTCGTCCTCGTCCACATACATCAACATCAACATTAATTTTGTTTTTTTTTTAATTGTGTATACGGACTTACAATATTATAGATGTTATATATGGCAATAGTGATTGATCCTATCTTATTAAACCTTAGTTAGCTTGAAAATATAAAATAGTTTCACCTGCAGAGTAAATAGATTTAATGTACTACTCCACACTAGGAAAAGCGACTAATTTTGAAACATATTGCAAAGCAACAATATCGATAAAGGAAATTTACACCAACTTTTTGGTTTCCTCTATCACTTAGTATGGCGCCATTTCATTATAGAAACTTGAAGATCGACATAATCGTCGTGTTTCATTATTTGCGATCTGTTACACACGATTTCAGAAATAAAAGCAAAGAACTATAACTACCTATAAGTGTCGTATTATTAGTAAAAAATACTTATAATACGGATCGTTTTTATAACTTATTTATTCGTTAGCAAAACAGCAACTAGCCTTCCCCTATCACAATCGCCTTCTATGTTTCAAATACTTTAAAACCTATTGTCAGGGATTCAACTCGCAAAAAAAGAAAGGAGAAGAAATGGTATATTTTGTGCTGTTGTTCGGCTAAGTACGAGCGAGCGGTGCACAAAGCTCTACCATACCTTTTCCTATGTTACCGCATTGAATAAGTTATTCAATGGTTTGTTTATACGGTCAAATTTGTTACCTACTCATGAGCTACTAGAAAAGTTGACAAAGTTGTGTATTGTAATAATCTAATCTGCAGGTACGTAGGTTGCACAAATGTTTTAAAAGTTTATGGTAGGTGGATCCAAAATAAGGTTTATGAGACACTATAGGAGAAATAATGAAAATCTAATTATTATCCTTTATTCCTATATTAAGAATTTTTCAGTTTTAAGAATGGGACTTCAGAAGAATATAAAATAAACCATAATTTAATTATTTATTTACCAAAATTGCTACATGACGATAAAATACAGGGAATAACCCTATTGACGATTGGTCTGGTTATCTTTGGTGCCCCTGAACTGATATCCATGTTGAGCCTTCCGAGCCTGGGAAAGCACTTCTAAGGATTGGAATAGAAATGGTTTCGATCCCTTGATTGTTGATTGCCTCCACACACATTCGTGGGTGGTGTCATGCAATCTTCTTATGGCGTCTGCCGCGATTCCTGTCCAGTTTTGGGAAATGAAGAATGTGTCCGCTTTTCTAAAACTACCTGAAAGGATCTTCTGTTAGTATTTGTCTCAAGTTTTTTGTGGAACTTCTCGTACTGGTTTGACTTTACTTTCAGTTGCGATTCAAAATGTATTCCTAAAAAATGTAGATAAGTGCGAAAGGAATTATAATGTATATTTTAATTACGTACCAAGACTCTCGATCTGATAATGTAGTGCTAAGTCCTAGTTTTAGATCCCAAACCCTTTTCTCCTTAATGCTTTCTCATCGGTCGAGAACCACCTGCCTTCCGATCGGCTGGCCCAGAGCGATAAGTTCCATCTCACCCAATAGCCAGACCGACGGATGAGAAAACATATTAAGAAAAAAACGGTTTGGGATGTAACACTAGGTCTTGGCATTACATTATTAGATCGAGAGTCTTGGTACGTAATTGAAATATGAATTATAATTCCTTTCGCACTTACTGCCACTTATTAGGGTCACATTTCGAATTGCAATTGAAGGTAAAGTGAAACCATAGTATAATACAATATTATGGTGAAACCAATACCAGAAGTCCCACGGTAAATACTAACTCTTGAAAAGCGAATTCTGCCATATAAGACAAGGAACTGTTTAAATTTGCTTATAAATGCGTAGCAGACAATCAGCACTGACATTCCATTCACCACAAGATGCAAACGAACATTAGTACTTATATTGTGTATAGTATCACTTTGTTAAATGATTTCTATACTTGTGTATCTGCTGTATAAGTTAGGTATGCATGCATTAACTCGCTTATTCTTCTTGAGAGCAGAGCTGGGCAGAATACTTTCAAAAAGTATTTGAATACTAAATAGTAAATACTTTACACAAATCAAAGGTATTTAAATACTAAATACTTTTACGTCCAGCACAAGCGAATACTAGATACAGATACATTGAAAAGTATTCAAATACTTTAGAATGTATTCGAATACTTTGAAAAGTATTTCATTATCTTACTTTGAAAAGTATTCGAATACAGTAAAAAGTATTCAAATACTTGTCATTCAAATACATTAAAAATTTAAAATAGTATACTAGATAAAAGGCTTAATGCAACTTAAAAAATCAAGTTATACTTTGTATGGGGTTAGCTTTTTTTATATTTCTATTGTTATATACAAATTTAAGGGGAGTAAAAGCGTATTATTATTATTATATTATTATATAGGAGGCACCTACCAGGACCTTTCTTATACCAGTTATATCCTCAAGAATACGTGTACCAGTTTTTAAAGCGTCGTGCACATGATACGTACGCCTTTCTGAAATTAATCCTAGCGATTTTGGAACAGATCCATTTTTGACCATCCGTTTGTCCGTGTGCATAATAGTTGGTTTAGAAACGTGCGATCGCGTTGAGAATTGGTACACATGGTCTTAAAGAAGGTTAAACACTGCCTTTTTTTGAGGGCGGAAAAAAAATTGTCTCAGATCGACCCGGAAAAAAATTTTCTTATAGACTGTGGCCTGTAGAATCCATAATTTCAAACAGTTCCAAGATTGGGCTACTAGTTCAAAAGTTACAGCCCTTTGAATTTTCTTTCGAAATTGGTTTCTACTCCATAACTTTTGATTAGATTAGATTAGATTTATTTATAATTCCTTTTGACAATTATCGATATTGTATAGGAAGCGTCAAGTATAGGTATATGACAAACAATTAATGAGACAATAAACTATGACAAACAATAGATACATAAAACAGACAATTCAACATACTACTTTTCATTACAAAATTTGAAACATTCGGCGATGGAGTAAAAACAATTTTCATTTAAGTAACTTTTAAGTTGACATTTAAATTGCTGCAGGTTACAAGAACTCTTTATATATTGCGGTAGAGTATTATATATTTGTGGACCCAGGAACGCAGGAGAGTGTTGCGATACTTTTAATGTTGCTTTCGGGAGATACAGGTTGTCTTTTGTCCTGGTGTTGTGGTTGTGTATATCCGATTTTAAGGTGTGATCATTCTTGTTTGCGAAGACATAGGTACTAAGTTCATATATTAGCATACTTGGTAATGTTAATATTTGAAAAGTTTTAAAAATTATTCTACATGACGTTGTACAACTAACGCCAGCAATTTGTCTTACAATCTTTTTTTGGGCAACTAATACCTTACTAGCGAACGATGAATGACCCCAATAACAAATTCCGTATCTCAAGCGTGAGGATATTTCGCTGTGATAGAGGTTTATTATTTGTGGTAGCGTTAGCACATGTTTCAGATTTTTAATTAGAAATATTGTAGAATGCAATTTACTAATTCGGTACAGTGTGCTTTCCAGTTCAGGTGTTCGTCAATTGTTACCCCTAAAAACTTGACCTTGTTAGTTTGTAAGAGAGGCAAGTTATTAAGTGATAAGCTTAGCTGTTGTACGTGCTTTTTTGGATGATGAAATCTGACGACTTGGGTCTTGGCTACATTAAAGTACAAGTCATTGTGAGAAAACCAATTGGAGAGGCTTTGCAGAAGTTCGCAGCATTTATTTTCAAGGACCGTTTGTGACTTATCCGAGAGTTGGAGTGACGTATCGTCAGCATATGAGCATATAGGGTGAATTTAGCTGTAGAGTAGGCTCGCTCTATGTCATTGATGTAGAGTAGAAAGAGGACAGGACCCAAAATTGAGCCCTGGGGTACTCCCATATTCATACGGACATGGTTTGAGTTTATGTTACACTTTATCCCGTCTTTGTGATATTGCAAAGCGACGTATTGGATTCTTTCAGAAAGAAAAGAACGTAACCACCTCAAAGCCACGCCTCGTATACCGTACGTATCAAGTTTGTTGCAAAGGATCTCAATGTTTACACAATCGAAGGCTTTACTCAAGTCACAAAATATTGCAACTGGACACTCTCCTTTTTCGACATCTGAGATAACATTCTCGTAGAACTTCCAGATTGCAGAATTTGTTGATCTACATGATCGAAAACCATGTTGATTAGGTGTCAGGATATTATGCTTGATTATATAGTTATTTAGACGATTTAAATAACAATATTCAAAAATTTTGCAGAACCCGGATGATATAGTTATAGGTCTATAGTTATCCGGGTCGGTAGTGCTATTTTTTTTGTGAATGGGTAGTACCTTACCGACCTTCAATGCTTTCGGAAATTCTCCTTATGAGAATGATAAGTTGATCAAGTACGCCAAGGGGCTAGCTATCTCGGGTAAAATTTCCTTTATAATAAATGTGGGGATGTCATCATAGCCGCTCGAGAGTTTGCTTTTTAGACAACGCTTTATTAATGGGAGGAGTTCGCCTTCTGTTACTGGATGAAGAAATAATGAGTGCGATTGTGTCGACACTTCGCTTTGTTGTTGTGGGGTATTACAGCGTTTCGCACGGTTACCTATTTGGTTTTTTATTGTGGCAGGAGCCAGTAAGAAGTGCCTATTAAGGTAATTGGCAGTTCTTAGAGGGCCATAGCATATGGATCCGTCGATGTGAATGTTAATATCTGCCCGACCGCTGTCTTTTCGTCTGAATTCTGAAATCACATTCCAGCACGTTTTTGTGGGGTTGTCATCTTTCAAAAATTTTTCGTTGGTAGTATGATTTTTTGGTTTCTCTGACTAGAGTGACGTGTCTCTTTTTCGCCCTATTATATGAGGCATGTAGTTCTGGGTAGGGTTTAAATAACTTGTGTAGATCTTTTGATCTAGCACTAGATATTCTTACTTCCCTGTTTATCCACGAGGTTGTGTCGGTACGGCGACAGTATTTCTTGATGGGAAAATATTCATCGAATAGTTGTTTGAAAGTGATGTAAAATCGTTGGTAGGCTTCATTGATATCACTGCAATCATACAAGAGAGACCAGTTTTGAGCCGCTAGATTCTGTTTAAAATTTGATATACTAACGCTTCCATATCGCCGTTTGAATGTAAATTCACGGAGAGTGGTGTTAATCATATCCTTAATTTCTAAAAGGACCGTATTGTGGTCTGCTATATTGTTCTCTACTACTCTACAAATAAATTTAGGGACGTTTGTAAAAATATTATCAATAATTGAGGTAGAGGAATGTGTTACTCGTGTTGGGTCACTAACCGTCGCTTTCAAATTAAAGCTGGTTACAAGATCATTTAAGTCATTAAATTTACTGTTTCCGTGGATTGAAGGCAAACTGTTAGCGTTAAAGTCCCCACATAGAATTATCTGAACTCCAGGGGTGAAGACAAACTGCAAAACCTGCTGCAACCGGATCAGAAATGTATCGTAGTCACCAGAGGGTGATCTATAACAATTTAATACTATAATACTACTACGTTTACCTGGTTTCCACCGAGCCCCGCAAATTTCAAAATGCTTGTCTATACAAAATTTCTCCAGATTTATACGTTTAGCATCTAGATTGTTTTTTGCCCACATCGCCACGCCGCCACGCTCGACGCTCAACCTACAATAAAATGCAATTAATTTAAAATTATGGATATCAGCTAAATTTAGTAAATCTGGGTTATTTCCAGATTCGGTTGAACACATGAATTTTAAATCACGGTGTTGTGAATTCTCTACATTTAAAAGATTAATTTTATCATGGTTCAGGTTGCGCACGTTTACTAGTAAAATGTGCGGGTTGATGCATTTGGAACGGTAGTCTTCATTTGGAAGCTCTTTATGGATCGCATTTCGGGAGTAGGCTCGAGACCTTCTACCAGTGCTGGCAGCTTGAGAAGTCTAATCGAAAAAGTACGAATTGTTTTGGATTCTACGCACCAAAATTAATAAGAAAAAGTGTTTTCCCGAGAAATTTTAGTGTAGTCGATTTTTGGTTAAAAAGGAAGGTTATACACAGCCTTTTTTTGAGGCCCGAAAAAAAAATTGTCACAGATTGATCCGGAAAAAAAATTTTCTTATAGAATGTGGCCTGTAGAATCCATAATTTCAAACAGTTCCAAGATTGGGTTACTAGTTCAAAAGTTACAGCCCTTTGAATTTTCTTTCCAAATTGGTTTCTAGTCCATAACTTTTGATTGAGAATTCCGAGGAGAATTCTAATCGGAAAAATACGAATTGTTTTGGATTCTACGCACCAAAATTAATAAGAAAAAGTTTTTTCCCGAGAAATTTTGGTGCAGTCGATTTTTGGTAAAAAAGGAAGGTTATACACTGCCTTTTTTTGAGCCCCGAAAAAAAATTGTCTCAGATCGACCCGGAAAAAAAAATTTTCTTATAGAATGTGGCCTGTAGAATCCATAATTTCAAACAGTTCCAAGATTGGGCTACTAGTTCAAAAGTTACAGCCCTTTGAATTTTCTTTCGAAATTGGTTTCTAGTCTATAACTTTTGATTGAGAAGTCTGATCGAAAAAGTACGAATTGTTTTGGATTCTACGCACCAAAATTAAGTATCAAATACTATGCGGAAGTATTCGAATACTAATTATTTGTGAAAGTATTTGAGTTACAAATACAAATACTGCTTCCATAAAAGTATTTAATTACAAAGTATTTGAATACTTTAAAGGATTTGAATACTAAAAAGTATTTACAAAAACGAATACTGCCCAGCTCTGCTTGAGAGATGTATTTATTTTCTTAGATATAATTTTATGATATTGTAAGAGACATGTAGAACATGTTCATGTGCCCTATGGAAACCATGGTTAATGGTTCCGTTACAATATATAAAACGTAAATCTACTCAACTCGACTTACTATACTATAATACTTTTATGTGCATTTTTAAAATGTGGATCCTATAAACAAAACCAAACAAGGACATAAATGACACTTTAAAAATGACAGCCCTCACAGAGGAATCGTGTAACAGCAAATTTTTGAAAAACACTTGTAATTTTTGAAGCATGGAGGGGCTACCAAAAGGATGGCTTGTGAATCCTGTAAACATAATGAGACGAGGAAAAATTCGACGTATTACAAAAATTACACTGCTGTTAACTTATTTCAAAACAACATCTCAACTACACCATTCTCAAGCGAGACCAACCAATAGTATCAGGGTAGCTGGAGGCACCGTCAGAACGTCAGCATTGCTCTTGCAGCTGCAAATGGAAACCACAGAATGGACAACTCCGACCACGAGCATATAAAAAGCATCGCACCAGCGGCTGGAGCACAGGACCAAAAGAAGAAGCGGCGCAGGAGGGTGCTGCAAGGAAACTAGAGAAAACTCATCCATTTCAGTACCATCAACTGCATCAGCATGGATGCTACTACTATCTGATGGATTCCGTGCTTACAAATCCATTTGTAGCTAGGGCTTTTGAAATATGGGTGGCCTGAGCTCACCAATCATAACTTTATGTTAGTTGAAAATGCGGCTGCCGTTTAACTCTTTAAGGCTAATAGTGATAATACTCAATTATAAAAATATACATATTTTAGAAAAACAAAAAATCAGTGATTGAATTTATAATAGTGATCCAAAAACTTTAATAACCCCCTTCTGTAATTAATCCAATTAACGCTCAATGGATAAATTGAAGATTTATTCTGGTACTTCTGGGTTTCTGCAGTACTACTATGGAGACGCCCCTGGTACGATGCAGTGAGGTTTTTAGACACCTATTGGTACTTCACGTTTGTAGCTGAGCCACAGCAGTGCATGCATCAATTTGACAGTTGCAATTGACGTCGCAAAAGCAAATGAAACTACAGCCATTATTCGTTGTTACGGGTTTAAAAAAAATGTGTAAGTGCCGTTTAGTTTAAATTTCGGTTTTGAAATACATTTACTTTCAACAGTCGTGTAGTGTGATGAGCCTATATGTCCAAACACAATAGGAATTTGGAGGACATCAGTCCCTTAAACGTTAGAAGATCTTCAGAGTACTCACCACCTTCAAAACGTAAAAAAGATATTGTAGAGGTAGATGAAAACATGAGTGACAATTCCAACGACAAAAACAAAAAGTCCAGTAACTTTTCCGACATTTCCTCTAACGTTATCGATGGAAGTTCCCTCATTCTTAATCTCAAACCAACCTCTGCCAAGAAAATCATTATAAAAAATTTAAAAAGCGAACCCAAACTTCCAGACGACTATCGAGAACAAACTTGGCTTAAGTTAGAAGAAGCAGTTCTAGCGATTCAAAATGCCACCCGAAATGAGTACTCGTTGGAAATCCTGTACCAGGCGGTTGAAAATATGTGCAATCATAAGATGGGATACATGATCTACAATAATCTCAGAAAAATTACGGAGGGACATGTTCGCCGATCGATCGAGCAGTTTCTCGCCGAGAATATGGATAGGTTTTTGTTTTTAAAGAAAATGAACGAAACGTGGCAAGCGCATTGTCGTCAAATGATTATGATTCGCAGTATATTTTTATATCTAGATCGCACGTATGTTTTGCAGAACCCTCACATTCCGTCAATCTGGGATATGGGTTTGGACTTATTTCGTCAATATATAATGGCCAATACTTTAGTGCAAACTAGAATAGTGGAAGGTTTGTTGATGCTCATCGAAAAGGAGCGGCAAGGTGACGCTGTCGATCGTACCTTGTTGAAATCTCTGTTGCGGATGTTAACCGACCTTCAAATTTACCTGAAAGCTTTTGAAGAAAAGTTTTTGGTTGCGACTGAACGTTTATATGCAGCTGAAGGTATGAGGTTAATGCAAGAAGTTGAGGTACCTCAATACTTGAACCACGTCGAAAAGCGCCTCATCGAAGAAAATGAACGTATCCTACATTATTTAGACAACAGCACAAAACCAAGACTAATCCATACGGTAGAGAAACAGCTTCTAACCGAGCACGTCAGTAACATACTTCAAAAAGGTTTGGACGGTTTGTTGGAAGAGAACCGCCTTCACGATCTCACCTTGTTATATTCGTTGTTCGGACGTATAAAACACGGACACGCCGAGCTTTGTGTCGCGTTTAACGCTTACATAAAAAAGTTTGGCCGTACAATTGTGATAGATCCCGAGAAAGATAAGACAATGGTGCAAGAGTTACTCGATTTCAAAGATATGATGGATAACGTCGTCACGACCTGTTTTAATAAAAACGAAAAGTTTAATAACTCTTTAAAAGAGGCCTTCGAACATTTTATTAATCAAAGAGCGAACAAACCTGCAGAAGTAATCGGTAAGTTTATAATACGTAAAGAAACGGTTGCTGACATTCTGACCCTTTTTTTTTTGGGTAGAAAGTTGTGGCCGAGGTTTCTAGAGTATCCTTATTGATAAATTCCCATGTACCTATTCACAGGTACTTCCAGATATTGACACATCTCGATTTGTCAACTAAGATTATATCGAAAACAAAGTAATTCATATTAGGCATTAGGCAGAGTCAGTGGTAGAGCGTTGGGATACATAGCCAGAGGTTGGGTTTTGGAACCTGGGCTGCGGTAAGAATTTTTCATCTCTGATTGAGATAAGAATGTCCTTAGGTTAGTTTTGAGCATTCTGTCGACTACTCAGAATTAGGTTTTCCTGCAGTTTTCCTAATTCGTCAAGTAAATACAGGAGTAGTATAATAACTTAAGAGCTTCTGCAGGGGAAGCATTGTGGGGGATAATAAATAAGATTTGGAGAAGTGCCACATTTTTTAGTACACGTTTGATTTGGCTTTTGACGCATAAATCTGGTGAGGTGAGGGGGGGGGGGGTTAGAGCATATTCTCCAAAGCGCTATATTTGTTCAAGTTTTTTTTTATTAACAGCGACTCAGCTTATTTATGATTTTCGACTTTCTGACCATCTGTCTGTGAACTTCAGCAAACATAAAATTTTAGAGTTTTAGCGTTTGCTTCGATTTGTTTGTTTCATATATATGACGTATACATTCATGCATTTTTTACCTCCACCATTGAAGATATATAAACAATGCCTCTTCATAGGTACAATTTATTATAACGAGTAAATCGAGGGGGTAACCACTCTGGAAATACATGTACGTTTTACTGTGGAAATCGCAGAAATCACTTCTGAAATCGCGGAAATCACTTCGAAATCGCGTAAGAAATCGCAGAAATCACTTCGAAATTGTGTAAATCAGTTAAGGAATCGTGGAAATCAGTTATGAAATCGCAGAAATCTGCTAAGAAATCTTGTGGAAATCATCGGAAATCAGTTCAAAAATACTCTGCCGGAAATCTTCGCCAACTTTCGTCGTGGCTCAAGTTACTCATGGAGTTACTGCGAGAGTTACTGGAATCGTCAGTCGTAAATCGTAATTCATTTGGTGTTGAACCATTTTTTAGGTCTGTGTTAGCTGAGAAAAACGCGCGCAAATTCAAGGTTCTCCAGTTACTTTGATCTAGATTGAACCTTCCTATCGGCCTTAACGGCAACAGAAGTGACATTATGGAAACAAAATTCTGAATGCGTTCCATGAAATAGTTATTTGACAACATGTTTGATGCGATTTGATCCTGTGGTTTTTCTATGTGTTACTCTCAAGTTAGACTTAGAGGTAGTGCAGAAAAATGAAGACTTTTTCACATTCCTATAGGTCTAGAAGTTGGTTAATTGGCGGTCAAATATTAGTTAGGGACTTTCTTACAGATTTCAGTTAACTTATTTGACAGATAATTTCAATGGAAATAAATGTATTCATATTGCAGCGAACATTCCAAAAATTTCTATAGATATCGAAGCGCCATGAAAGATTAGTAATCGGCGATACAGAACGGAGGCGGATGTGACACAATCCCGGAAATATGACGTATTTTGTTCTGGAATGTTCGTAACCGCTCGCGAACACTCGACTTTATTATATAAGCAAATTGGATTGCATTATACGACATTTCCAACTTCGATATTTTTGAGTTATTGTTATAAATTGTAAGTGATAAATAATAATTATCGTTATAAATTAATTCGTCTTAAGACAGTTATAAATTTATTATCATGACAGCCGAGCGTATGTCTCATCAAAACCAAAAAGTGATAACGAAATTTAAATCTTATGTGCAATTATGTGCAGATCTGGATTCAACAAATTGAATAGACATTTTAAAAAAAATCACTTTGTATAGGTGATGTTTTCGTAAACAATATTCTTCACAAATTCAAAAAAATATCCATTCAGTCTGCTTAATAGCATTTTCTTACCACACCAAAACTGAAACTGAAAAATTATATTTGCTGAACAGTGAACAGTGCGAGGCGAAGCCGAGCTACGAATTGTTACGAAACAGAGTGAGGCGAGGCGGCAAACTCGCCGGAGCCGAGCGAATGTTTCCTCAAAACCAAAAAGTGTTATCAAAACCAAAAAATCTTATGTAGAATTATGTGCAGATCTGGATTCAACAAGTTGAATAGACATTTAAAAAAGGTGATGTTTCCATAAACAAAAATATTCCTCACAAATTCAAAAAAATTATCAAATCGGTCTGCTTAGTACGAGGCTTAGTATCATGTTCTTACCACACCAAAACTGAAACTGGGAAATTGTCCTTGATACATGATACATGGTACATAGGTCGAGTAATCGAAATCAGGAAATTAAACACCGCATGTGAACGGGTCTACAAGATGAAATTTCTAAAACACGATCTTGACTCATACATATGGCCCAAAGTTGAGGACATCCAAAATGTAGAAAGATCCTACATATTCTATGGACCTGTGGACTTAAAAGGTAGTGGTCCATTTACCCTAACAAGATATGAGAAACAGAAAATAGAAAAAATATTTAAAAAAATTAAAAGTAGCGCCGTAAATATTTAGCAATACTTCACATACGTCCTAGACATAAATAATACGTTTTATGCGAGGTTTTATGTCTATATTTTTGTTATACCTTGGACGCTAAATAAAATGTCATTATTATTTTACTTTTATTTTATTTATCGTGCATTTTTAGGGGTATTTCTATTCATGAAATCAAACTTCATTCTATCCCAAGGATAGGAATTTCCTGGCTAGATTAAGTTTCAAGTAAACTGCTTTTTGCAATTAGTCCGTCAGGTAAATTGAGATAGCCATAGAGCCATAGAGCCATAGCCATAGAGGTTTTTAGAAATATTATACCAGTTGCTAATATTACTATTGGTATTATCAAAACTTGGTTAAGATACTCGTTTAATTTCTATAGCGGAATCTTTATATCTTTGTATCTTCTCTTGTTGTGTTTTAATAATATTATTGGATAGAGAACAACCAACATCATTAGAAAGGGCTTCTTTACTTGTTTTGTCGATGTGAAGTCAAGATCACGATAGAGTGCTTATCAGATCTAATATTGCGATACATTAACATTCGATTCCAAAACAGATGATGGTAGATATTTATACTATGCTTTCAAAGATTTTAGCAAATGGTATTATTGTGCAAATTTACTAAATATAATATTAATATTATTCTTATTATTTTGTGAGCACTTAAGAAAAGGCTGGTTAATTAAATACTTTTATTATTAGTTATTAGCTATTCATTATCTGCAAACTGAACTTTAAAATGCAACGCAATCTAGGTGTGATTTCATTTGCAGACCAAAAAGGTACATAGTGACGACGCAATACGTATCTACAAATATGATACCACTATAGGTTCGTATTTGCCTTGCATTTTTTTACCTTACAACACCACCACACGCCACAAATCCTATGTAACTTTAAAGAAATTATAGAAATCATTGCATAATATAGGGAAATCGCAAGTGATTTCCAGGAAATCGTGGAAATCAACCAGAAATCCCAAGTGGTTTTCGAGAAATCAACGAAATCGCTTAAAAATCGCAAGTGATTTCCAGATTTCTAGAAATACGTGTACGTTTTCACTAGAGTAGTTACCCCCTCGGAGTAAATTTTCCACGCCACTGGTCAGTAACTTTGACTTGACTGTCATTTCATAAAAAACAATAAATTGAATAAGGATATTCAAATTATTGTGCCTGTCTTTCCCAAAGACTAATAATAATAATAAATAATAATGAATAAGGATAGTTGACAAAATCGGCATGTGTCGCTGAAAGTAAATAGAAACCAAATACCCAAGTTAGAGTATATTTACCGATTAAAATGTTATATGATTATTGTACTTCTGTTCTTTATACTACACCGTATGGTTGTAGCAAAACATGTGGAGTGCTTTTTCTAATAGTTTTTTAATGTTTTAAGCTAAATTCGTGGATTCCAAACTGAGGGCTGGAAATAAAGAAGCGACTGAAGAAGAACTGGAGCGGCTCTTGGACAAAATAATGGTCCTGTTCCGTTTCATCCACGGTAAAGACGTCTTTGAGGCTTTTTACAAAAAAGATTTAGCGAAAAGATTGTTGGTCGGTAAATCGGCCAGTGTGGACGCCGAAAAGAGTATGTTAAGTAAACTGAAGCAGGAGTGCGGCGGCGGATTCACGTCGAAACTGGAGGGAATGTTTAAGGATATGGAATTAAGTAAAGATATTAACGTTGCCTTTAAACAGCACCTAGTGACTGCCACAGTTCATTACTCTGAAAACTACGTACCTGTTGATATGACTGTAAATATACTAACGATGGGGAACTGGCCCAATTACCCGTTAATGGACGTCAATATGCCCGAAGATATGGTCAGGTTATTGGAGGTCTTTAACAAATTTTACATAAGCAAGCACAGTGGACGGAAGCTAACTTGGCAACCTACCTTAGGTCACTGCGTTTTGCGCGCTCAATTTCGTGGGGGACAAAAGGAACTATTGGTCTCCTTGTTCCAAGCATTGGTACTTTTGCTGTTCAATGGTGCAATGGAACACTCGTTTGAATACATTAAGGTAGCAACGAATATAGAAGACGGAGAACTCCGTCGCACATTACAGTCACTTGCCTGTGGAAAAGCTCGTGTTCTATTGAAATCCCCCAAGGGACGAGACGTCGAGGACCACGACAAATTCCGCTTTAATAACGATTTCACGAACAAACTGTATCGCATCAAGATCAATCAAATTCAATTAAAAGAAACCGTACGTAAAACATCAACTTACTCGACTGATTTTTCATTGTAAGATTTTAGACTGAAGAACAGAAGGCAACCGAGGAGAGAGTCTATCAAGATCGACAATACCAAATTGACGCCGCCATTGTTCGTATTATGAAAATGCGAAAAACACTCAGCCATAATTTACTCATAAGTGAATTATACCTACAGTTAGAGTTTCCAGTCAAAGTAAGTAAAATAATACCTCGAAAGTAATTACAAATTGTGATTCTAGCCCGCCGACCTTAAGAAGAGAATAGAATCTCTCATCGATCGAGATTATATGGAGCGTGACAAAGATAATCCCAATCAATACAACTATGTCGCTTAAATAGTTCACCTTTAGTATTTTGTTCTTGTTCTTGTGGTTATTTTAAAACATTCTGATCGGCATTGCTCTTACTTTCAAGGAACGAATTACTCAAACAGTCTTCTAAAGCCGGTACATTGTTTTGCTTAATTTGTTTATCTTTTTTATTTTTACTTTACAGTTTGACTAAACCAAACATATGGAGTGCCTGGAATAGGGCCTTACAATCCCTTCTGTTTTACACATATTGTTTCTGCGATTAAAATTTGTAACTTATCCATTGTATATAAGATTTTGCGATGATAACTTGAATAGCATAGTATACAATCTAGTCTTTAAGTTTCATAAAATAAATCAAGGGTTCATTTGTTTTTAAGCTGTAAATACGTTCTTATCATTTCTCTGAAAAAAACATTTGTTTCAAATAAACGATGTAAATACAGATGCCTGTCAGTTTGCTTCTAAAACTGTAAATACCTTGTTTTGTATTGAATTGTTTAATCATAATTCATACAGCGTTTAGTTTTTTTGTTGTTTTTTTGTATCTTCCAGATATTTAAAATATATAAAATTTTAGAAAATCTGTAGAACTATTGTTAACACAGTTTCATGATATCTGTTTCTTGTAACGGGTTGCATTATGCTAACGTGTGCAAATCATAAGAGCGAAAATTGAAAATTGTTAAACATTGACATTGGAATGCATAGAAGTGGGGTTTTGTCATTTTTTGTGAATTCGTGTAGTGTGGAAGACACACTTTCCAGATTAAAGCAAGGGCAAAATGTAATGCCGAAGTTAATACTGACAGACCCATATGATATATACATAACACATGCTACAGGTTATTGTACTCTAGTTTGCGCTTATTTAGACTAATCTTGTTGGGGATTATCAATTTCAGCCATGTTTTCTGTACACTAGAGCTCGGTAACAGATGCGGCAAATTTCAATGCCTTGTCTTTAATGAGGTTAGGAATTCTTTCATATATTATTTATTTATTTTATTTTGCGGCGGGGTTTCAGGCAAGGCTGTACTACCAACCCAACCCACTACACATTTACAAATATCCATGCCCGAATCGGGGACTCTTAGCACCACAGTTCAGCTTTAAATGAACTGGTGTGGCCGGTTTAATCTTGTTTGTTTCTATAGCATTAGGGAGGTTCCACAGAAGCTGTAACAAACTGCTTGTTATCGCCATCTAGTTACAAACGTTCTCTTACTCTTGCCTCGCTTTCGTACATCATTTATTTCCATGCCGCCTTCACTGGTTAGTTAGCGCAAGAATGTGTGCACTCTCCTTACCAACCTATTATTATACTAGGGGTGGTTCCAGTCGGTTCCTGCACTGTGATCTTTTGCTCTATTGTGCTTCTTGGTATTGTTTACCGTTCAAGAATGACTGTATCTTAAAAGTCCAGGATTTTAATAGGGCGAAGTTCTGTTACTTCCCCTTGTGTAATTTCTTTGTTTCAGATAGGGGTTTCCTTGCGTTTGTGTATGTGTACGAGTCTAAAGTAGCAATTGCTGCTCTGCTGTCTGTAACTATAAAGATTTTACTTTTGGTAAGGTTCTCTTTTAATAGTTGAGCAAATACATCAGGATTGCATGTACCTTGGCACGGTTACTTTTTGTCCTAAGCTTACAGAAACCGCACCAATGGACATAGCATCAACTTTGTCAAGGATCCAGGTTTTTCTTCGTCCCGTCTCCTCTTCCAACAGCTTTCCCTCCAGGTCTTCATGTGGTTGCTTCGCTAAAGGTTCTAGGTATCCTTTCGCGGTCTCAGTTTTTGCCTTTTTTGAGCTACTTCCCATCAAATCGTTTTCGCATTTACGTCCCAGTCTTCAGTGCAGCCTTGATTACCTATGGTTTCTAGTTACTTAGAGATTGCGTTGAGCCTCCAGGTTCCTGCCTCATCTTTTTTAGCTTCCGGCGCACTCTCCAATACCAGGTGCACCGGTAGTAGTGAGTTGTTGTTTTTCCTGGTCCATGTAAGTCCCACGAGTATGGGGAAAAGAAATGTACACATATGTAAGGTGACTGAATACAACGGAGTGACGCCAGATGCTCCGAGGATAGGGCTGGTAGTTGCTGATCCTCTGTACTCAAGGCACGCACCCCCTTGGTCCGGCCCTCTGACCCTTGGGATTTAAGTTCTCTAGTCTTGATGCTCCCCTAAAAAGTTTGCATCACTTTACTTTGCCGCTTAATAATAGTTTAGGGGCCTAATTAAAATGCAAGAGATGACAAACTTAAATATAAAAAATCTATAAAAGATATATATTTTGAAAATATAGAGCCATTTGGGCAGCTGAAGATATTATTTTTGGGAAGTCAAATTTTGTCATATTAAAGAGGTCAATAGACGCCCTTTTGAGATACAGGCGTTTTAAATTTCAAAATTGGAAAAATTCACTTGGCCTTAGTACACAAGCTGTTTGAAGTACCTATATCAGTGGCTTCCTGTATCGCTAGACCAACTGCCAATACCGCACCAGTACAGTGCTGGGCAGAATACTTTCAAAAAGTATTTGAATACTAAATACTTTTACGTCCAGCACAAGCAAATACTAGATACAGATACATTGAATAGTATTCAAATACTTTGAAAAGTATTTCATTAAACTTACTTTGAAAAGTATTCGAATACAGTAAAAAGTATTCAAATAGTCGCTCAAATACATTAAAAATTTAAAATAGTATACCTACTAGATAAATAAGTTATACTTTGTATGGGGTTAGCTTATTTTATATTTCTATTGTTATATACAAATTTAAGGGGAGTAAAAGCGTATTATTGTTATTATATAGGAGGTACCTACCAGGACCTTTCTTATACCATTTATATCCTTAAGAATACGTGTACCAGTTTTTAAAGCGTCGTGCACATGATACGTACGCCTTTCTGAAATTAATCCTAGCGATTTTGGAACAGATCCATTTTTGACCATCCGTTTGTCCGTGTGCATGATAGTTGGTTTAGAAACGTGCGATCGCTTTGAAAATTGGTACACATGGTCTTAAGGATATAAGAAAGGTCCCTATTGTTTTTAAGTTACGTAGACTATCGAGTCAAAAAGTTTCACTCCAGGATCGTTCGGTATTTAGTTGTATCGGATTTTTATATTTGATTTTGTGACAATGGAAACTTTCCCTAAACATTTCTAAATTGTTCTCAAATATTTGAATAACTTAAAAGTACCTACTGCCTTTTTTTGAGGCCGGAAAAAAAATTGTCTGAGATCGACCCGGAAAAAAATTTTCTTATAGAATGTGGCCTGTAGAATCCATAATTTCAAACAGTTCCAAGATTGGGCTACTAGTTCAAAAGTTACAGCCCTTTGAATTTTCTTTTCGAAATTGGTTTCTAGTCTATAACTTTTGATTGAGAAGTCTGATCGAAAAAGTACGAATTGTTTTGGATTCTACGCACCAAAATTAATAAGAAAAAGTGTTTTCCCGAGAAATTTTGGTGCAGTCGATTTTTGGTAAAAAAAGAAGGTTGTATACACTGCCTTTTTTTGAGGCCCTCAAAAAAAATTGTCTCAGATCGACCCGGAAAAAAAGTTTTCTTATAGAATGTGGCCTGGTAGAATCCATAATTTCAAACAGTTCCAAGATTGGGCTACTAGTTCAAAAGTTACAGCCCTTTGAATTTTCTTTCGAAATTGGTTTCTAGTCTATAACTTTTGATTGAGAAGTCTGATCGAAAAAGTACGAATTGTTTTGGATTCTACGCACCAAAATTAATAAGAAAAAGTGTTTTCCCGAGAAATTTTGGTGTAGTCGATTTTTGGTAAAAAAAGGAAGGTTATACACTGCCTTTTTTTGAGGCCCGAAAAAAAAATTGTCTCAGATCGACCCGGAAAAAAATTTTCTTATAGAATGTGGCCTGTAGAATCCATAATTTCAAACAGTTCCAAGATTGGGCTACTAGTTCAAAAGTTACAGCCCTTTGAATTTTTTTCGAAATTGGTTTCTAGTCTATAACTTTTGATTGAGAAGTCTGATCGAAAAAGTACGAATTGTTTTGGATTCTACGCACCAAAATTAATAAGAAAAAGTGTTTTCCCGAGAAATTTTGGTGCAGTCGATTTTTGTTAAAAAAAGGAAGGTTAAGTATTCAAATACTATGCGAAGTATTCGAATACTTCTCAAAGTATTCAAATACCTTGCGAAGTATTCGAATACTAAATATTTGTGAAAGTATTTGAGTTACAAATACAAATACTGCTTCCATAAAAGTATTTAATTACAAAGTATTTGAATACTTTAAAGTATTTGAATACTAAAAAGTATTTACAAAATCGAATACTGCCCAGCTCTGCACCATATCATCTGCAAATGTTGCAATGGGAACGTCTTCAGTTGTCGCCGGTAGATTATGTAGAACAGGGGACCAAGAACACTGCCCAGTGGTCTTCCTCAGTGGATCTCTGTAGTTTGAGAACTCATCTTCTTGTCTTCCGCTAGTTACCCAGTGAGATTAAGATTTCACTAGTGTTCGAGTTGCACTCAATGCAGTTTGTAAATGCTAGACCCTGTCAAAGCCCTACTGAACCACAACCTGGAGTGCTTTGCAGAACCAAGGACTTCTCAATCTTGTCTACTATTCTATGGACTCAGTTGTGTGGAGCGTTTGCTATGAAATCCAAATTGATATTGTTTTTTCGGCGAGTATTGGTTTTATTCTCCTTAATAGTACTTTTTCGAGATAGCCAGAAGCAACCGATGTCCGTTTGTTACAATTAACCTTCTATAATCGAGTGTCTCGTTTTCATATGAATAAAAAAAGTAGAAACGAAATGTTAGGAACAGTTTAATATTTTTAATACAAATTTAGGAACAGCTTAATATTTTTAATACAAATAGCAACACAAACTTAGTAAATAAAAGATATCTTAAATGTACATAACGAGGAAGATTGTCCTTAATAAGTTAACTTTTCATAGAACGAAGTTTGAGCTTGCCAGTGTTAGGCTCTTTATCTTTATTTTCATTCGGATCACATTCAACTTTTTTATCTACGTCCAGTATGGGCCAAAAAGACTTATGAATTGATTTAACCTTCGCAATCGCCTTCATACATTCAGGGTCAATTCTTTTAGAACAATCTAAACTTGGTAGAGGATCACCTAACAAACTTTTGATGCAGAGGTTCATGGAATACTTTACAGTACTTCTATTATATCCTCCTTCCAGAACCAAAATTATGCGCCCTTTCGCAAGCGGTTTTAGGATTTGTATGAAGTGACCAAAACATTCAGGCGAGAGTTTATATTTTCCCAATGGATCATTTATACCCGCATCGAATCCCGCCGAAACCAATATGAATTGGGGATTATACGAGTAAAGGATCGGTAAAATTACAGAAAAGAAAATGGTCATGTAATCCACGTCATGCATGTTATGCTGTAACAAAGCGATTGTAAAATGGCGTTAATATTCTGTATAACTTACTCCTCTCAAAGCAACATTAACATTGTAGCCTTTCCCTCTGCCTTCTCCATAATAGGTAGAGTCACCTTCAGGCGTATTCGGGAAAAAACTCTCTGGAAAAAATTTATGGATACTGATGTACAGCACCCGATCATCATTGTAAAATACATTTTGGGTGCCATTTCCATGGTGTATATCGAAGTCTACAATCGCGACTCTGCAACCATTTCCTAAATACAAATTCCAAAAAGATGGATGAATAGTACCTATTGCAATCTTTTAATAGTTCCTTCGCAGCTACTGCAACGTTATTTACAAAACAGAAGCCCATGGCAGAGTGTGGTTCAGCATGGTGTCCTGGAGGTCTAATCAGTGCCACACCGCTCCTGAAAATTCCCCTAACCATGTAGTCAACTAGCGTCAGCAGACACGCGTTTGCCTTCTTTATAGCATCCAAAGTGTGTTCATTGTAGTACATATCTCGGTGGCTTTGAATAATGTTACCAAATCTTTCACTCACTAATTCTTCTATATATCTCTCACCATGAACCGCTCTCAAAGCATTAACATTCAACTCTCGTGGCTAAGAAAAAAGAGGTGAAATCCAATTATGACTAAAACACATCTACTTTACCTTGACATTTACACATCGCGTGTGTAACATCCAAGCTTTATATATATCACATATAGCTGATAAGCGACCCGGGTTTTCATAATGCGGTTCGACAGGTTTGTGTAGTAACATCTCCCGATGAAAACAACAACCCACTAATCTGTTGTCACCAACAAGCTCGTATTCTAAATACAACAGAATTCAGCTTTTATGCTTGCCTTAACCATCTTACCATCACGTAGCTTCTCAATCGTATCGTTATAAAACTGGTTCAGTATAGGCGATAAGAGAGGATAACAATTTCGGGTTTCATATGGGGGTACGGGTGGCACACCGACAAATTTGGCAGTTACTTTATGCACATCCTCAGAACTAGGACATGTCGAGTACATGCGAAAGCACTTCCAGTAACGACCAAGCACTGATCGTAAGTCGTTAATTGTCTCAACGACTACATGGTGAGGCTTCTCCATACAATTTAGATAAGCACAGGCATCTCCTAATAGTGCTTTTACAGTCATTAGAACACCTTCCGCTAAGGACGGCAGAAAGTAGCCACCTTCAAGGCAGACAACCATCCTTCCAAGAGCCAGGCCAGATAGCAGCGTTAGAAGATGGCCGTAGAATGCAGGAGATACCATCATTTCACCCTATACAAACTCAGATATTAACAATCGTGCAACACCTTTTTCATTTTTTTTAATTTAATAATTACGGTCACATGTTATTTATTTAGTTACTTTCCTATAGTGTTGTGGCTTGCGAACGTTTGATTTTTTTATGTACAATCCCTCCAGTTATTGATCAATTCTGATATCGTATACTAACACTTTTATGTAATGTTGACATAGACTCAATCAAACTTGGGCAGTGATGAAATGGGGAATCAAAATAAGGGAATCTGATAACAAGTCAAAGACTAATCATCTAGGACGTTATCAAAAATGCTAAAATCCTGCATGGAGAAATATGGCTAGAAATAACAAGAGTAGTACTGCAAGGATCTATTTTGGAGCCAGTGTTCTTCATAACTTACATGAATGACCTCCCGAAACAGTTACCTGCTTACGTAGTCACATACGACACTGAGAGTAAACGATTTAGACCATGCCGCACTGAAAAGTAAATTACTCTGCTGCAGTTGAGTGGTTCAATGAGAATGAACTTTATAATAAACCAGCATAAAACCAAGACAGTCGGGTATACCATGGAGCCTACCCTAGGAATTGCTTATTAAAGACTGGGTGACTAGTCAATTCCAGGCGCAGTGGCGACAAGCAACCTTGCCTTTTTACAAGGGCTCTTGGCGAATCAATCTGGGTTTGTAGGCTTCAAAAACTGAATGAAAGCCAGATTAGCAAGATCACTGGTATCCTTACGGGCAGTGGACGGTTAACTTGTGTGGCAAGGAAGATGAAACTACCAAGCATGTGGTCTGCCACTGTGACACCTTTATCAGAGACAGCTCCATGAATCTGGAAAAGTGCTATTGTTTGCCTTTTGTCCCCGTCGTGTCTTAAGCCCCCCCCCCCCAATGAATGAATAACACTAACCAAACAAATCGAAAAAGGTTTTGCACTCCCTTACATAAAATATATAACTACGTTCACACAAGTATCCGATATTACATATCAAGCACACGGTGTGGAGTCTGCGCGTCCTTGAGACAAGGCCGAGGGTGGCAACAACATGAAGTGCACTTCAGTCACACCTGACTAAACATATCTTTTTCTACGGACATGTAAAAACAGTTATAAATTCTTTAAAACGTCATCAAAACCTACATAGTCAGTTACTTGCGAATGTCAAATTGATGCTCTATGTTGATTGGTTGTATTCAACTATGAATGTATACGTGTTAGAAACGCCACTATTTAAATATTCGTAGAAAAAATATAATTTCAGTCTACTAAGCCACCCACGTTATACTATAAAATGTCATTTAAAAGATGTGCAAACCAGGCATTTTAGTTAGTTTTGCTACAATTTTATCTAAATCATATTCATAAATAGTTAATGAGCCTGAGCCTAGTCATTCCACGTCAGCACGGGACTTCTAAGTCTACAAATCTGGTGCATGAGACTGTGCACCACCCCTGCTCACACTAAATAATATTGAGATTCAAGTCTCGATATCATTCATGGTCCTTGGAGCATAGAAGAATTAGTAGACGGTGCATAAGTCAGCATGTCGAGACAACCTACTGGATCAGCAAAGTGGTTACCAAGAAGCCAACATCGAGCTGTCCAAAATATAGTTACCTATGTTCCGAAATGGCTCTTTTAAGAATCGATAAATTGACAACAACCCGAACTGGTTGTTTCCGTAGTGACGTTACACGTAAAATTATTCCTTATACAAATATCTACTTAAATTTTTATAGCTGTATGCATTTTTTCCTAGTCAACGCTATTTTATGACAACAATACTACTTTTTCCAAATATGTACTAAAATTGTATCAAAACTATACCTAAAGATACCTATGCTAGATAAGAATCTTGACCGTACGTAAGGCAGACTGATCGATTGAACAAGCACACCTAACGTACGGACAAACAAAAGTGAGTACAATTTGTTCCAGAGTTGACAGTAGTGGTTAAAAGGTTATTAGCGTTTTATTGACATTAATATTGAAGCTCGATTAAAATACCACCATAAGAGATCCACACTGTTGATTCAAGTGAATTGAATTGGTTAGTAAATAAGATAGACACAAACACAAACCTTCGAATCTCCAATAGCAGCATCATAGCCAGCCGATACAAGTATCAAGTCTGGATTAAACTAAAACAATAAATAATTATAAAAATGTTATTACCTCAGGGCATCCTAGGCAAGCATCGTATCCTGCAGATACAATAATAAGGTCTGGATTAAACTGTAGAGAAAATGATTACAGAAATGTTCTTTATGCTATAAACGAAAAACCTTCCATCACATGAATCCTTCGAGGTTATTAATGATGAAAGGTTTTTCACGTACATAGTGTTCTAACCTCGTAAGCCACCGGTAGCAGAATTTGTAAGACAATGGCCATATAGCTTGAGTCGTCCAGTCCGTGCGCATTCAGAGGGAAATTTATGTTGTACCCCTTTCCTGCCCCTTCGCCAATGTAGTCGAAGTTGCTCTCTCTTAAATTCGGCCAAAACGCGCCATGCTCGTAGCGATGAATCGAAAAGTATAAAACACTTGAAACAATTTTATAGCCACACTGCAAAAATAGTCCACTTACTTATTCGAATTATAAAATGTCTGTTGCGTGGCCTGGCCGTGGTGCACATCTATGTCAACTATTAAAATCTTATTGGCCAACTTCTTTCCAAGGGCATATTTAGCTGCGATGGCTACATTATTAAAATTACAAAAACCGCAAAAATTATCGCTCATTGCATGATGTCCCGGTGGCCTGACAATCGCCATACCATTTTGAACCTCCCCATTACACACTGCGTCTACCAAACTAATCGCGCAGCCAGCAGCTATCATAGAAGAGGTAAAAGTGCTCTGCGAGACAACACATATAATGCCATTTACAAATCTTGAGAGTACTCACTTCATTAAAATAAACAGAATCATAGCAAGCGGCCTGATCTTCCCATTCCTCTTCCTTGGACAGTGATATTGCTCGTAATTTGTCAATCATTTCCTGTGTGTGTACCTCCAATAGGTCCTCATTACTAGGAAAAGTGTATGATAAACGTTTACAGCGATCCAAAACATCTGCCACTTTCAATCTGCCAAAATACAATTCATCTGTCAATATTTATTTACTTTTTGTTTATAACGAGCTAATATAGCTATTCTTGACTCTCAACGCACTACACAAAGAAAAACTGCCAACAATAACCTGTCTAAGGCGTATAGACCGATCCGCCTCGGCTAGTTCTTGTTGAAGGGGAGGGAAAAAGTCTTAGACCAATTCCTGAGAAGCGATGTTCTAACAAAACTATCTATCATGCATGGTATGACTGCCACGACCATCAGTTTTATATGCCTTCTGAAGCATGGTAGTAAGGGAGATATTCTGTACCACTAAAAACTGGCAAGTTGTGAGATTCGAACACACCACCTGTGAGGTTAGGGTGCGAGCGTTACGTCGTGCTCATATTAAAAGAGGTGGGTCTAACCGCGTTTGCGGATATAGAGGGTGCTTTCGGTTAACACCCCGCATGCTATGGCACGGCACCGAACCAAGAAGTTCAAACAGCTAGCAATTCTTGAGTAGGATTGTACAAAAGAGGTGGCCAAATCCCCATCGGACATAATGTTGTTAAAGCAAAACTTAGGGGTACCATACACTATTTTGCCACATAGGGGTAGGGTTGCCATCCGTCCGGGTTTCCCCGGATTTGTCCTAGTTTAGGGGGCGTCCGGGCGGGGGTTCATTGGTAATCCGGGTTTTAAGCTACTGAGATATCTATGAGTTTCTCTCAAAATGTAAGCCAACAAAACTTTTAAGCGCCAATCAGCTTTGGTTGCCTAGTGCTTTTTTTGCATTCCTGCTCATAATGACCCCGCTGGACCTAGCCCCCCCAAGCAAACCTCAACTACTATAATTAATAATTCAGTAGCTCTTCGGGCTGGTACCTAATCACGGCATTTTATTTTTCTGCCGCGCTGTGTATAATATTTTTTTAAACGCATTATTTATTAAACTGTTCCAAGGATGAGGCTTATATTTTTAGAATACGTAGTGGCTTTTTAATTATATTTTTTTGTAGGCGATATCGGCGCTAGTTCAAAGTTTATGGTCATTTGAACAATTTTTTTGTAAATAAAATTCTAGATTTTTTACCGTAATTCGATTTTTTGTTTCAGAAAATGAATGGCCATCAAAAGATGGAAAGAATAAATAAAAATTTATGCGAAAATGATACCACACTTGCCCTAGTAGTTATAATTTAGCAGTTATGACGACCAACAGCGCGCGCGGCGTAAGAAAAGTTTACCCCTCCCCCTCCCTCATTGCAGCGTGTCTCTCACTGCCTCCCGGGCGATTTCCATTCGGGTCCACCTAAGTAGAAAGTGTACCAAATCCGGTGCTTTAATGACAAAAATATTGGTGTTGGCGTATAACGACCCCACTATGCATAAAAATTAATTTGAAATAAGTAAACGATAACAGAGGAGGGGCTACGTCCAAGTGGAACTGGCCGCCTCATCGATTATATCTATTTGCTCTTTTAGGAGTGGCGCTCAAAAATCGAAATTCCTTGTAAATTAAAGCTCTTAAATAGCTCGTAATTCCAGTACAAATTTAATTTGAAAAAAGTAATTCTGTGTGGAGGGGCTGAGTCCAAGTAGACTCGGCCAACCCATAAGAAATGTTCGATTCCTAGTGATTAAAGCGAGCTCTAAAATTTTAAGCTTGCGATATGAAAAGCTCCTTAATAGCTCATAAATTGGATACCATTCTTAAATTGATTCACAATGGTGGGGGGGCTAGGTCGAGCGGGGTCTCATAATGCCAACGTTGAAAGAAAATGTTCACTAGTGACATAACAGTGGACCAAAGAAAGGAATTTATTGAATATTGAAACATTCTAGTCAGTGATAAAAATAAAGTACAATTTCAAAGACTATTTCTTTAGACAATATTTTTTTATCAAATTCAGTTGATATGTCCGGGTTTATAATCCCTAAATCCGGGGTTTTCACGCTTCCTGTCCTAGTTGGCAGAGTTTTGAGATGGCAACCCTACATAGGGGGCAACGAAAAAACAGACTATCTGGCTCGTGAAAGCAGTGGTGGGGCTTCGTTGGGCATGAGCCTACCCTAAGAATTGCACCCTTTGTTGTTAGGGTCAGGATTAAAGACTGGGTGACCAGTCTATTCCAGGCTCAGTGGTAACAAGCAACCGGACTCGGACAGTCCAGGGTCTTTTTAATAGGACCCCTTGGCAAATCTGAGTCTTCTAAGCTTCTAAAACCAAATAGAAGCCAGATTTAGAAAATCATTTATAGTGCCAGTTTAATTTTACTTAAAAATAAAAAAAAGGGAGATGTATAACAGATGATGCAAAAAAAAATGCACAGATTGACCCTAGTATTCCATACTAGTGCTACACTGAGAGGCAACATACAAAAGGTTAGCCAGAGGCGGCAAAACATACTATGCATACTGCGTAAATACTGGGCTATGCAGATCAGTTTTATTACCTGTCCATTATTGCTTGAAATCTGCCAGGATGTTCAATATAATTGGGGTCCCATTCGCACCTATGCAAAGATGTAAGGTCATCGAACACAATTCCGGTGGGTTTCCTAATTAAATATTGGGCATCTTCCGCCTAGAAATTTACAAATACAAATTCTGCAAACGGTTAATATTCTTACCTTTTCATACACGTCTACAAGGATTACATCCTCTGCCGGTTGTTGTTGGCCTCTATTACTCGAGATAAACTCTGAAAGTTTCGACTGCTTGAAAAAATTAGATTATCTGAAATGTATGATGATCTTACCCGATATCTCTTGGAACGGCTCGTTGAAGGCCCACACTCGCTTTCCATGCGTCTCTTTTCCATATCCAACTCCGACGCACCTTTAAATAAATAGTAGTTATTCATCTAGCCGTTTATCAAAATTATAACAAACACTAACACACATTAGGTCTACACTCAAATGGATGAAGTCTAGATTGGTACAGCATCCATACAATCTAGCCCTATTGAAATGGATTATTAGAATGGCACAAATTGAAATTTGCAACCTCTCATAAAGGATCCAAAAAATGATCCCTAACCCGGAACCAAAACTGGTCAAGATGGTTCAAATCAATCTGCATCACTCAAAGGCGGCAGCTTTGGGTGCATACGTGACCCAACAAGATTTTCAATGCATAGATCAGTACGGCCCGAAAAGCTATAGGGACGCAAGCAAGGCACAAGCATTTTTAAGGTTAAAACCTTGTCTCAAAAAATATCTTCTCGCTGCGCTCACTTTCATTAGAAGCTTCCCTCCAGAAATAAGCTGGCATTGCGCACTCTTGCGCATGCGCACATTTGATTTCCGCTATATGCGGTATGTTTGTCTTTACTAAAAGCATACAGTGCCCCCCCCCCATTTGTTTGGTCCCCTCCAATAAAAATTTTCGAATTGAATTTTGAACTTCTCGGGATCAACACCTGCTTGCTTGGAAACTCATTTGTGACAATTTTGGTTTCGAAAAATCAAAGGTGTCTTTGAAATTATCTACTGGGGTATCCAAAAGGGCTCTTTGAAAATATCAAAGGCACCCTTGATTTTTCGAAATTAAAATTATGAGTTTCCAATCACGCAGGTGTTGATTCCCGGAAGTTCAAAATTCAATTCCAAAGTTTTTTTATCTTTTCAAGAGACGGCCAAAGTATATGATTAAAATTGCATAAAAATATAGACTCCGCCCGAAAAATTACAAGCAGTTTTAAATGAAAATTTTTTATTGGTCGAATTTTTGAAACCAGTAATGTATTTCAAATAAGTGCTTCATAATTAAACACTATGCAGCTCTGCTCGCTTCATGGACATACTTTTACTGGATTGTGACTGTGACTTTTGGGTGCTCCGAAAAGCATCATGATCATGATCAAAAACCGGGACACTTCCAGTTTTCCGAGGCGTTTGGTCACCCAGCACTAGAGCACAATCAAAATTTGTTTCATTATAGACCAATTCATTTTAAGTAGCAGCGTACTTGAATGCAATATCCATTCTAGCATGACATTTTCAAATTAAATATTAACTACGCACGCCCCTGAAACGATTTTAAATCTCACGGCTCATAGGCATTTTCATTTGGAGTACAACGCTACAAAATCCCAACATTTTCTGGAATTCTAACAAAATTCTTTCATTTCTGTACACATGTACAAATTTGGCGGGACGCAAGGACCGAGAGTGACCTTGTACGTAAGCATAAAGCACGAGTCCGTGACCTACTACCCCATTTAAGCTACGCCACTGTCAACATGCCAAAATCGTATACATTTAATTAAAAAAGCGGAACTTTTAACCAATTCGAATTTGTTGGTGATGCGCAAGTTGAAAATGTTAAGTTTATTAGTAAATTAAGGGAGGTCATTGGAACATGGCTCTCAGTAAATGGGGTACCTACGAAATGTTGATTTTATGGAAATCAATGACTCACCCTCCGTTGATTCTTCTCCCTCGTCTACCTTGCTTTCATTCTCCATAATTTTCAATTTTAAAGGAACGAGCTCGCCTGGAAAAGAACTCTCATCACCAACTAATGAGGAAATTGGGTAACTGTCACAACACAACTTTTAGGTTAAAACGCTATTCTACCACCATTCAATTATTCTGCTCGTTTAAATCGCTCAAAACCGTAAAAGGAGACTGGCTTTGAATTCTTTACCTTGAGGCACTCCTACATTTTTACGGAGACATTTGGAAGAAACGGATTCAACCCACAAAGATAATTTATAACCTAACCTCAACAGTTAGAAGTTCCATGGGACTCTTGATTGTTGTGCCGATTTCAGCACCCGATACTGCAGCATTAACGGCAGACATAAGCTAAGTCACATAACTAATGCGTAGAGACCATTCATTGGTAATCACTTTTAGATCGCCGTAAGAAGTTCTTGGGCTAAAGAAAAAGACGGTCCAAGCATTACGATTTGTAGGCATAGTTTTATTAATTTATACTGAATAGATAGCACGTTGTCTATTCTTAAGGTGACCAACCATCCCGATTTGGGCACACACCGGTCCGATTCCAAATGTTATGGTGCTCGTGTGTATATTATTAGTTTTGTCGAGACTGTAACCCAAGTGACGTAAGGCTACAGGTGTGAAATTTTGAATTTGCTAAACCTTGTTTGGCAAAAGCCACCGATTTTTGCAGTGTACTATCTTGGGGTAGGAATTTTCAAAAATGTTTAGAAAAGGAAGGGGGGGAGTTGGTCACCTTATCTATTCTTAAGGCGGCCAACCGTCCCGTATTCAGCGGGACAGTCCCGTAATGGCAAAGGCAATCCCGCATTCAAAAAATTAACAAATATGTCCCGGAATTAAACCAATGCGTCCCGCTTTTCGCTTTTGTAGTAGTGTTACCCAAATTCATGTAAACGAGACAACGCCAACGAGCAAAGCGATTACTCGATTACTTGTAATGAATTTCATTCATTATTACTCACTAATGACAATGCCTTGAATGCCATCAATTCTGAAAAAAAGTATTCATTTAAAATTAAAGATAATTAAATTAACGTTTTGTTTTTTAATAGCTATAGCGCACTACATAATACTATGTATGCATGTCTCTTGTACGTTTGTTTTTTTTAATAATATAAATATTTTTTAACTTTGCGTGAGTTTTTAATTTGAAAATGGGTAAGCAAGTGGGGGGAGGGGGGGGGGGGCGCAGTGGTGTCCCGATTTTTTAACATGGAAAGTTGGTCACCTTATCTATAACACATATATAACTCACCAGATTTAGCTTGTTTTGTTTTGATAAATGAAGAGGTTTGGAAGATCGAAGAGTGTAACGAAAGGGAAAACGGTCTGGTATTTATAGTGTATCTTTAGTGGGGATTTGGGAAATTTCAAGGTGTTTCCAGGTACATATTTCAAGGGATTTTTCGTAACATTTAAGAGGTATTTTAGATCAATTTATTGCAATTACTTTGGAGTGTGTGCAACCATTTTGTTTGTCTTATCAATTTTCGGTTGCAGTATCAAATTTGGCAGGAGTTCGGAGGAAGCCAAATGAGTAAAGCAAAGAGGAAGAATCGGATGAAAGTAACATACTGTATGGTATCTCGAACTTAATCAAGAATAAAAGTTGGATTTTCTTTAATTATATGTTTTGAGTGAGTATGGACAAACTTGTGTGAAGTTAGCAGGCAGTTTCCTAAGATAAAAGCAAGTCTTTTGCTTAGGTCATATCGAGGGTCATATGTTCTGTCTATCTTACTATATGGCTGGACGAGGTTTATCTGTCGGTCAGTCGGAATTGCTAATGCTAGGTCATGGAACCTGGGGAATGTATTTTTAAATTTGACAGTTCAAAGGTGGTAAGACTGGCGAACGAACTTGAGATATTGTAAATGTCTAAATAAAAAGGCATATTTTCAAAAGTCCAAAAATTTTCGTAACCATGGCAGATGTTTGAGTGGGATGATCTGGGTTTTGGAGCATTCCTCTCTGACTGTCCGATGTTCCCAAAATGGGAATGCGGAAAAAATTCGGATCTCCAAGAAATTTATTTGGTATCTGCTGGTTTTTCAATTTAACAATATCAAATCTAAAATTTGACAAAACTGCATCTCTTGACAAAAAGGTACGAATTTTATTAAATCTGGGGCACTTTCGGTATATATTTCTGTCGAGCAGTTTTTGCACGCGAGTCTTTATCGTCGAAATATCATAAGTGAATTCGAAACACAAACTCGACTCGCCAAAAGGTGGACGCACATGCGCAAAGAAAATAGGCTTATGATATGCGAGTAATTTGACATGTAATGATTTGTTTGTTACCGTACTGAGCTCGAAACATGTTTTCTTGCTCAAGGATACTCATATCACCTTTTGTTGAGATCAGAATTTTTTGCGCGCCTATTTAGGGGTTTGGGAAAATGTTTACAAAATCTGAAAAAGAATGCTTAAAACCCTAGCTAGATTCATCCTATTATCCATTAGGATTAAATTTTAGAAGGGTCTAATCTAAAATTTGTCTTTATCCGAACTTGAATCGGAGACCCCTTAGTATTACCACAGATTTAAACACCCTAAATTCTGTGGTGTTACTTCAAGGGAGCTGATGCAATTATTTCCTTGGTAGTTAATGTCGGTGAAACTATAAATGACCATTACATGACTTGCCAAATGACTTGCTCGTATTACTATTTCTTAGGCTTATGCTGGGTTTAGGTTCATTAGAATTCTTGACATTGATGTGGTACTTTTTGACATTTTTGGAATGGATCTGGCATTCCTGAATGTTGTCGAGTGATCGACATTGTATATCTAGTCGATCCCACCTAGGTATATAGAGGCTCAAAAAAATTAATTGTATTTTCGATATCAAAATTAATTGTTGGAACGTATCCAAATTTCTAATCTGTCCTGTCGTTAGATCTTACAACAACCACCTCCGCCATTTTCTCACACATTTAATGGTGCTTTAGATCCCCCTCTGTGACCTTGAGATTTTGATGCTTGAAGCCGTCATGGCATTTCAAAAAATCAGCAATAAGGACATAGGTACCTACCCAATACCGAGTTATTCAAGATTTAATTATTGCAAAAAGTCGCATTTTGTATTATTTGTATAGTTGCTGCATACCAGCATAGACCACATTGTGATACGTAACCCATTTTATGCTATTATGCATCTCAACAAGTATTAACGTATACAATTTTGCTTCCCTGCCGTTCCAAAATAAATTGTAAAGCAATAATTATAAAATCCTACCTTTACAATGTGAAAAAACTTGGTCACACTTGCACTCGACTCAACGCCAGAACAAGGAAAAGGCCGAGTTAGCGTTTCTTACGATTTAGCGGTCAAAGAAGTCGTTGAATTGACGAACCTGATTGGTTGAACGTAGACGCTACCTGAACATGTAACATCTACGCATGCGTAAAATAATTTTTAACCCTGATTGGTCAACTGGGAACTTAACCAGAAAATCTCAAACATGTACTTATGTTAAGTAAATGTATTCAATACATTCTCAGCCACAGAATCACAGCTTCCATTGCTGTATATAGGTAACAACGCATTAATAAAATGCTATGGAATCGAAACACAGTTTTTAACGCCAGAAAAGTGCGATAACTCATTAGGTAAATGAAATGTCTGCTGGTGAATGTATGTTCCTCCCAGGGGCGCCGGAAGAAAATGCGCTAGGGAGGGGTCTTTACATTTTTGAAATAGAAAATGTTACCCAACTATTTTTAAATTAGTAAATCAATAGGATACGCAGCTAAATCATATATCCAATAATAACTATTGGTGTAATAGGTACATATTAGACACAAAACAAAACAAGAACAAAAGTAACAAGTTACAGTAGTTTACTGAAAAAAAATGAAATTAATAGCACTATATTATAAAATCTGCTGTGGTTAGCACAGATACCACCCGTACACCGGCGCATGCGCGTTTTACCTTCTTTTAGGTCTAACAATGTGTACCAAATTTGGTTCCAATCGGTTCAGCCGTTTAGCCGTTAATGAGAGTTTAACACACTTGCGCATACGCTATTCTCCCCGAAAGCTTTTCAGCGCTTCCTTTTATATCTAAGAATATGTGTACCAAATTTGGTTACAATAACAGTACATCATCAAAATTTTGTTGGATTCGGAATCCTGGTGCTTCAAAACGTATATTTCCGTAAAAAAGTGGGGAGGGGGGATCTTTTTTTACCACGATGCAATACCTCCCTTACTAACGTGCGGGTGATAAAAATTACAGTGCGTAAGGCAAATTCGAGGGCAAATTGTAACATTAAACTGTTTCTGCATAATTTTACTACTCTAAACTATAACAAATTACCAACCATAATGTTATTGATTACAATGTAGAATGTAGAGTAGGGTAAAAACAATGTACCTAATTATTTCGAAAGAATAAAAATTCCTCTTATGTGATGGTTTTGCCTGCCTGTGCGTCTGTTCCTCGTCTAACTCAAGAACGAAAAGACACAGCGATGTCAAATCTTCGCCAATCGATTTCTACGAGTTCAAGAACCAGTGCTATTGAATATGAGCCGGATGAAAAATCTGGTTTCTCAATACAAGCTGAGTAACAAAAAATTCCCCTACTGAATCGTATGCAATTCTTCGTATATTCATCACTTTATGTGCATCTATTCCATAACAAGTTAAAAACTTGGTCACTCGCGACCAACGAAAGCGCATTTTCCCCGCACAGAATTAGTAATAGCTCAGGAAGGAAGTGACTAATCCAAAAAGTCTTTTGCCGTTCTGGTCTTGAGGCTGTGCTACACCGTATAAGAAACACACCACAACGAAAAAGCCTAAAGTGGAGGACTAGTAATGGTAAAGACGGACAAAGTGCGGACAATAGCGTTCGTTTTCCTTTTGGAAAATGCGCTAAAAAGCGCCGAACCGAAATATGTAAGTGACATGACAATATTGTCCTTGCCCTTTAGTAGCGGCGCCCATGGCTTCCTCCAGATCTCAAAAAGGGTTGGAAATAAAAACATTTTTTTTAAACCTCTCAATATACCAACAAACTTGATATCTCGTTTCAGGATTTTAGCTTGCACAATGTTCGTGCGGCAAAATTGTAAAATAGTGAGTTTCAAATTAAAAATTTCTTACAGACTTCCTCGTAATTAGCGCTATCAAAGGCCCGTAGCTCGATTGACAAGACTACCACTTATAGCCATATCCAGTTTTCCTGAAGTTGTTCCAACGTGGACAGCGTAGTAAAGGCCAGAAGAAGGACCATATAGAAAAATATGTGACTTGTTG